TGTGAAAATGCATTTTCGGCATTCGCGGTATTGTGGCGTCATTTTTAAGGTCCATGCTTGGTTGCATGTGTGGCAAAGCTTTGTTGACGATACCCTATAAGTTACCCAAAGGTATTTCGATTATGTTGTATTTACAACCATACAATATAAGCAAGAATAACTAGTTAAGTAAATTATTTAATAGGCTTTATTTTACTTTTATTTGGCAGCTTAATTGAAAGGGTAAACTGAACGGGTTGGTTGACCAAGCAAGTTGAACTACTTGCTAAGCCGATTACTCAAACCAAAGTCAAAAAGTTGGATGGCCAAGTTGAAAGTTGAACCGGACACATAAACAGGATTGCCGAACAGGAAAATAACCCGGGAAAGACTTACAGAAATTTTAAAATTTTTATAATTTTACGGAAGGTTGACGTAATAAATTTAATCACAATACGGCATGTCAATTAATGGGAAAGTAAGTGTTTTAATGTGGGAAAAATATGTAAGTGCTAAAAAGAAATAACTGGGTAAAATGACTACAAGTCTATTAAAATCAATCAAAAAAGAAAAAAATTAATTTACACCCATATACACAAAGATAAAGTAATTTTTAACGATTTTAGAATAACTGTTTTACCTTTATTAAAATCGGAAAACTATACACTATATATATTATATAGCTGTTATAGAAATCGACATGTAGAGCATTTTATTTTTGTATGAGCTGAAAGAGTATATATAGACTTCCAAGATCGCTCTTGCTATTTTATAATTTAAAGTTGAAGATGACTTGTAGAAAGGTGACCCACAATTGGACTTCTAATCCATAACTTAACCAAATTTATGGCGATTTTAAAGTGATGTCACACATTCAAATTTGTTTTTCATGTTAGTAATCTTTGATTTGCTTCCTTTCTCGTTTAGTTTTACAATCTTTTGGCACAGAAAGATGAAACCGTTGGGCTAAAGGGCTAAAAATAGGTAATTCACCACGTTTGTGAGGGGTTTTAACAAAGGGCATACAAAATCTATTCCAAGTGAGTCGGAACAATTGAAAATTCGCTCGGCTGGCAATTTGAACCAGCTTAGCCCCGCCAATCTGGTGGCAACCATCTCGCAGCGATTCTCATTGCAGACCGCAGAGCATCTGGCATTCGATTGCCCCAGCCATCCGCACTCTTTATAAGGCTTTTGCACGCGAGCCAAGACGAAGCAGACGCTGATGAATATCATCAAGTAATACCCGAGAAATGTGTAACGATGAGGCAATGCCAGCCAGCCGAGTAGCTCAGTTGTTGGGGTTATGATATCCCAGAGAGTGGTCGTAAAAATTGACAATGCTAATGGGGCGGCGGAAATCGGGCATTACCCAGACGTAATTTGCATAAGAAATCGGCTTTCGGTATGCACAATTAGATGCCCAGACACGTTCCCCAGACGTGGATGAAAAGTACCCTGGGCAGCTTAAGTGGCGGAGGTAGAACCGATCTTGACCAGCAGCACATAACGGGTACCCAATGGAACCACTTTGGAAACGCCCGATCCGCAGTTGCATGACACAAGACGGAGAAAGGCTGCCCGAAATAAGAAAGAGAAAAAAGAGAAAAGAAATGATATGCAACGAAATTTCTTCCTGGCATGTCTGGCCTGGCAAAAACTGCAAAACTGGTCCACCGTGACCCACTAAGGCCGCTCTTTACTTTTTACTCCAAAATCAGCCACCGCATGTTGACTTTAACACTACCACTCGCCGAAAGGTGCAGACGGACCCACTCTCTTTTTTTTTGAGGTGAAGCTTCCGTGAGTCACGTTCACTTCTTACTTCCGTTAATTGATTTTAAAATACAACAAGAACTCATCGCAGGTATTTTTATACCGTGTGCAAAAACCTTTATTCGCAACTTTCACTTTGCTGAAAAAGTTTTATCGAAGGAGGAAGATAAGATTCTTGAAAAATTAAACACTGCTTAACAGTGAGATCATTGTGTTTTAGTGTGTTAACTATAAGTAAAATAAACATAAACAAATAAAATAAACATTAATAAATAATTTTATTTGTTTTACACAAGGGTTAAAAACTGTGGCCCAATGCGTTTTCGGCAACTAAACAAGATCAACAAAAAAGACAACAATAAAATACAGCTAGCACGGCTTCATTGGTTTTGCGGTTGAAATGTTGCAAGAAGAACAGGCAATGCCACAAAACTTGGACAGCAAGAAACGAGGTAAAACAGAAGACTTTCTAGTCGAACTTTTAATACACTCAACTTAAATTGAAGGTTAAATTAAATATGTAATGCATTGAAACTTTGACAAATAGCTTGTATATTATTTTGTCATTGTTTCCAAGTTTACAAATTAAATTTTACAAGTTTAAATATTAACAACAAAAAAACATAAAGAAAAATAGTATAAACTGAGTCACTTAAGCTTTTTCGACTAGTTTATATTCTAAAACATATTTTAAACATTTGATTTCAAGAGAACTCCTACTGGAAACTAATTTTTATATAAAATGATAATTAAACTAAACTTAAATCTGATTATGGAATGGAAAGCTTGAAACGGCTTTGACATACAATCCGTTGAAGGCCTTTAGGGGAATAATCAAAATAGTTCTTTAAATAAGCAGCTTTAAAATCTGATGCTCCAATTCCCCTAGATTCATTTAGAAGAACCTATCAAAAACTCATAATCATTGCTTCACCCACTTTTCGCAAAGTTAATAACACCCTTTTGAAAGCAGCTTCAAAACCCTGCAAATCTATAAAAATGCAAATTAGAAGAAGCGAGAAAGAAACATAATAAACGACTCCAGAAACTGGAACGGACTTAGACTGTGATTCAGAGACCCCCAGATAAACGTTACTCGAGCTATTGCCTCTGGGCAGCAAAAGCGTTGGCGATGCTCTGTGATCTATGAGCTGGCCAGCCCAATTGGTCAAGAAGCAATTTGGGTTAACTGCAGCTGCAACACGTTGGCGATCGGCAAACTCTGGCCAATTAATTGTGCGGAAATCTTCGAGGCGCGTCATAAACTACTGTCGCTTTTTCATCTCTCTTTCAGCACCGGTCTTTGGTGGCGTTTTACCTTCCTGGGATGATTTCTATAGTGCTGATGTACCAGTATCAGTTGCACCTGCACAATAAACAATGCAAGGGTGCACAGAAAAAATTTAAATCCCATTTTTTTTATAGTAGTTAACGACTTTATTTAATAAAAATTTATGACATTAATTAAAAGGAAATTATTTTTTAAATACATGGATAGCTTTTTTATTTTTGTATGCCTATAAAGCTGGCTTACCAATGAATGTTTAAATATTACTCTAGTTTCTCATAAACAAATGAAAAAGGTATTTCCAATAATAAACTTAACAAAAATATTTAAAATATATTGTCATAAACCTTGAAATATTTAAAAACTAAGTTTACATTATTTAATTTGTTTTGTTTAATGAAGATATACAAATCGAATAATTTTATAAGCTATACTTATCTATTACACCTTTAATTTAATTGTAGACTTTGTCATATACAATATTTAAATTTTAACTACCTAGTGGTCTTTTAACCATAGCTTGTTACTTGGTTTACATTAGAAAGGAGGCAATTAATAAATATTCATATGTTTTGATGGCAATTGAATATTCATTGCTATATATGAAAATTGATGTAATTTAAGATCTCAATATCTAGTTAGACCTGATCTCCCATTTTTTCGCTGTGCAGATGGCCGGAGGCATTCTTGCGTGCAAACCTTGACCATGAAACACGCTGCGCGGTGAGAGATGACGTGCCCATAAAAGTGGTCGGCAACAATCCCAAACATTTTCCTGGCAATTAAGAGCCTCAGAAAATTAGTAAGAAATTGAAATTGCTCAACTGACGGGGCCGGCCACGTTTGCGATCACGTTTACGTCGGTGGACGATGGACGATGGTCAATGGCATTCGCATTCGCGTTCGCTCGCCTGCAGGTTGTGCAAGCCAACTTGTGCGACAGTTACATCTATATATGCGCCACACAACTGGTTTGCCGGCCAAAAAAAAAAATAACAATAATAAACAAAGCAAAAACACCGTTTTGGACCGGCCTCCAAGGCACGCTATCCAAAATGGAGCCATTGCCGGTCTGTCAATTAGCGACATGACAGTGCACTGAACTTGTTCCGCTTAAATTGTTGATAAGCCCACTGTTTATGATTTGTTAATGCCCACTGGCCACATGCGACACATTAAATTGTGGTAAGCGCACGGTATTGGCCATTAACCCATTTTTTATTAACCCTGGCTCTGAAGAATGTATTAATGGCTAAACTCAGGTTTTACTACTCCTTGATATAACTTTCGTTACTAACTTTTCTTAGTTGCGAAGTCATGCTCTTAACGGCATTATCTGGCATTATTCAATTAGTAATTATTAACTAATTTCATCCGCTTGCAAGTTAAATTAGTACCTTTTTCTTGATAATTTAAAGTACTTGACTTTTCAAGCAGCCCATAATTAATGATTATTATTTGGATTAAACAAATTTTTATTAATTTAACAGTTAAAATAACATAATATAAACATTCAAAAATTAAATTCAATGAAATATAAGAATCATGCTCTAAATGGTGTCCTAGGCTTAAATTATTTGATTAATTCAAATTCAAGAGAATCCAACATAAATTGTTTAGATAAGAAATTCTCAAAAAATGGCAATAGCTTATCATTGCCCCATAAATTACCCGATTTCCGCCCCCAAAAGTGATTTTTTACTTAATCAGCATAATCTGTTCCCACATGGTCTCTTCCTATCCAAAGTCCATCAATTCAGTGGGTTAATAGAGATCGGATATAAATGATATATCACCATGCGATGGTGAAATATTTGAGTAGAGCAGCTGCTCTTCGGATGGTGGGAGCAATGGGAGAGAAAGAACCGACACACCAGATATATAATACATATGGGCGACTACTATATATTCGTGTGGATGTGACAGATGTGCGTGATTGTTTATATAGAGCGGCGCAGTGAAATGGGCAAATCGAAAAGAGCAGTTGTGTTTGGTTTGTGAGGCTGCCAAGAGCGAAAACAGAACGCGGACGATGAATAAAATATTTGGATTTTTATTGTGTGCCCTGTGCCTTGTGTTTGTTCGGCCCACGTCCGGAAATGGCCAATCCACGGAAAGGGTCACCAAGGTGACCCCAACAGCAACACCCGATCCACCAGGCAAACTCCTGGTGGCCATCCATTATGAGACACTGTGCCCGGACAGCGTCTTCTTCATCCGTCGACGACTATACGATGCCCTGGTGGACAACAACTGGTGGCCCGTCACCGATCTCAAGCTATATCCCTTTGGCAAGGCATCGGTGAGTTTGCCAGAATGGAAATAACATTGTTTAATCCATTCCCTGCCCTGTCCCCATTTCCCTTTAAATTCCATTTCCATTTAATCTAGATCACTCCAAAAACATTTGTATTTACTTAGTCTATATAGTCTTTTAAGCAAACAAAAAAAGAAACTCTAACTGGTGAACATAAAAAGCTAAAACGTATTTATATATTTATTTAGGTGGCTACTTTTTTTCTTGTTTGAAATTGTTATATATTTTTTTATTTTTTTTAACTATAAACATTTTTGTTTTAATTAAAACACAGAGCATTTTCTTACCTTTAGAAATAAACATGGTGAGCAATTTTGTCGAAAATGGAAAAGGTTTTTAACTAATTTTTTTACTTTTAATAGAAGAATATCAATAAAATTCCAAAACACTTTTTAAAAAAATGATTTCGTTGGATTACATGAGTAAAATATATTATTTAATAATTTTGTTTATATTTTTAGATGGTTTTCAGTGATCACAGATTTCTGTAGTAACTTTAAATGTAGTAGAAACTAATCCTTGTTCAATTTATTCTATTCCAGTTCTACAACAATACATCCAAAGGTGAAATGCAGGTATTCTGCCAGCATGGCGAAGATGAGTGTGAGCTGAATGCCCTGCATGCCTGCATTATTGAGACCCTGGATGTTCGGAGGGCCTTCAATTTGATATTTTGCATGCTGCGATCCTATTCGAATCAATTGGACGAATGTGCCAGGAGCATGCGTCTGGATGTGAGCAAGGTCAGGGAGTGCAAAAGTTCGCGCAAGACCGCCGATATCCTGGCACCCTACGGCAGGGAAACCCTCAAACTGGGACTCTCCTTTGTGCCCAGCATTGTGTTCGAGAATGTGAGTAGCCCACTCCGCATATATCTGCCAGAATTAAGCCATTAATTTTAAATTGGGTTTCCAGGACTTTGATCCCTACGGGCAGAGCAGCATTCGCTACCACTTCGACAGGCACTTCTGTAAACAGTATTTGAAGAAGTTCAACATTACACTGCCCACTTGTGCCGCAATCTTATAAAGTAAATGCAATATGATGAGTAATGTTTTTTAATGTGCCAAAACCAATAAATTTTAATTACACTCCACTGGCCAGCTTGCCTTTTCGCTGACTCAGACTAGGTAAATAGAAATTTAAATAGATCTGCTTATCAGCCACACTTTTGTACACAGATCCTAATCAGAGACAGCACTCTGGTCGGCTAAATATGTATAAGATTAAATGCCGCTGCTGCTCAGTTGTGATCCCGTAATCAGTTGGGGTTTTCGTGGGCTTTGTTTTGGGCTCAGCATGAATCTCGGGGAATAATATGCGCGGACAGCAGGGGCGCCGACCACAGGGGGTCTGAAAAAGGGGAAAACCTCTTCCCAGAGGAAGGAAGTCGTAAATGGATTTCAGTTCCCCATTTCGCTTTTTTAATTTTTCCTTTCTTCTTCCAAACTTACTAAATGCGCAGTTACACGGAATCGGCGAATGACCACTTTAATTGGCAAATATTTGCATTGCAGCTTCCATTTCTTCAATAAAATATTTTGATTTATTATAGAAATAAAAAAGATTTATAACCGAAGAAACGATAAAAATGGAAGATTTTGCAATGCAAATAAGCATTTAGACAAAAAACATTTCTGTTATTGCAAGTGGATTAGATTTTAAGATTTATAACAAGTCCAGAACTAAATAAATGTCGGTTGATATGAAATATTAAGTAAATTATATAATTTTTTTTAAATGAGTATTTGTTTATTTAATATTTTTCTTTCAATATACGGACTTACTAATATTTAAAATTAATCATGTTGTTTGAGAAACATATTAATATGAAATATGTATAACTGCATAAATTAAAAACTGTAAGATCTATTAGCTAACAACTTTTTTTATTAACATTTAAAATATTCGATTTAAGATCTTTATTTTCTAATGGCCTTTTCTTAAACTGTCTTTAAAAAAATGTTATTCTAAAGCCCTAATTTTCAAAAGCATATTGATTTATGTAAATTTTGAACTTAGTCTAAGTATTAACTTTGCGAAGTACGGTTCAAACCCCTTTCGTGCATTTGCGGATACGCCACTGTCCGCTTTGAAATTGACGAAAGACCGCGACAAAGCTGGGAATGACAAATCCAGACTTTATTTCAGTGTCGAGCGATCGCTGGCGTAGAACGGCTGAGGAATTCAAGATCAGCTCGGAATTAAACTAAAACTGCCATGAGGACGTTTGCCTTTGTCTGCCTGCTGCTGGGATTTGTGGGTGTGGCCACGCCAAGGGTAAGTGACCCAGTTGGTGCCGAACAATCATAGACAATGATCAATGGATCATGACATTGCAGCGACACAGAGTAGCGCAGACTGACAGACTGCCGGTTACCCTGTACTACGAGGCCTTGTGTCCCTATTGCATGGAGTTTGTCACCACGCAACTTAGTCCTTCGATGGTACGACTGGATCGACTGCCATACACCGATCTCAAACTGATTCCCTTTGGAAATGCTCAGGTAAGTTTAAATTGCTTTAAGTCCCTAAAAATATTAGCAACAGAGTGTAGAGTGTAGTTAATGTAGGATTCTATATATTTTATTATTATTTTACTATCGCAGTTTGAAACGAATTTAAAAATTCCATTTGTGAAAGATTTCTGTGCACATTATATGATTTGTGAGGTTGCAATACTAACCACAGCTATGAAATTGCATCAGTTACTAATCAGATGAATAAGTAAAAACTACCATAATATTGAATTAATTTTAAGTTGAAGGATGACAAATTTACAATTAATTTGTGTACAGAAAATATTTTACAAATAGAATTATTGAACTTATTTTTAAGAGGTATTTGTTATTTAAATAACTTGTTTAAATGTTTTAGTATTATCTAGATCAAATGAAAAATGTATATAGAATGCAATATTTCACTTTAAAAATTTCAGTGAAGAAAATATACATATATTAACAGTTACTTAAACTATATTTTAAAATAGTCAATCGAGTTAGTCAATAATATTTACGATGCCTAAAAACCAAAATTAAAGTTATTAATTTTTGAGTGCTAGTTGATAACTAGTTGATCATTTAATAAAATCTTAAATTGAACGGCCATAAAAACCGGCTCACTTTGGGGCTTAATAGTGTCCATCAGCCGTAATCCGCATTTAAGCCGCGCTTAATCCCCTCCAGAGCGACGCCGCCGGAAATGTGACCTGCCAGCACGGATTGCAGGAGTGCGAGTTGAATGCCTGGCATGCCTGCATATTGGAACACCATGAGATTGCCGAATCCCTGAAGCTGATTGCCTGCATGATGAGGGGCAAGAAGAACAGGCTGGACAAGTGCGCCGATCGCTACCGAATCGACGTGGCCGATGTCAAAAACTGCAGGCAAACGCGTCAGGTGAACGACATTCTGCAGAAGTACGGCGAGGAAACCGCCAAGGTCTCGTTTCTGGGAGTGCCAGCCATTGCTTTGGATAACGTAAGTGGACGTAATGAGACAGCAAGGCAATATATATTGTACCTCTTCGGTTTTTAGATTTATGATGCCGACCTGTCAGCGAATTTAACTGATCATTTTGATAGCTTTTTTTGCGCCGCCTACAAGGAAAAGTTCCAAAAGAAACTGGACAAATGCGAGTAATAAGAAATATAATTTTTCAGTTTATACATAAATAAAAATTTAAGATTTAAAACTTTTTGGGTTTACTTTACGCATAAGGATTATTTTTAGCTTAAATCACCTTGTAATTGCAAATAACTTGGAGATTTATCTTCTTAATAACAAATCAAATTTTACAAAGCATTAACAAATATTTTTAAAACTATTCCCTTTAGTGAAAGACACATTGTATAATAAAAATTAAATACGATATCCCTTCTGGTAAGATCACAAATACCTTAAATCGAGCAGGCTATAATAGCATATATACAATTTTGATGTTAAAAAAAAGTTTTTGATAAGTACAAATTCTATATATGTAAATATATATTTTTATTTGGATTATACTTCACTATCAACTTCCGAAAGGTGAAAAAAACGAACAAAAATGAAGCTGTTTTGGGCTTTATATTAAGAGTTTGAATTTCGCGCCAATTTCGACTCTTTTTTCATGTTCACTAAGTTGGCTTTAGTGCTGCCAGATAGTTATATATATTAGTGGGCCAGATGGGCGCTTTTTGGTAGCCCTGGATTTGAACCTAAAAGTGGGAAAACATCGATTTAGTTGGCGCAAAACATAAATTGTTCATCGATATTTAAAAAAGGTAATTTTTTAGCATTTAGTTTGGCTAACTTCTAATAGAGCTTTTCCTGTAGCGAATTAAATCAAGTGAAAACAAAACAAAATTAAGCGTGGTAATTATTATTATATATTATTCAGGCGTTAAGATGTTATGATGCTAATTTTACCGCATTATATAAACATTAAACATTTTTAAAAGAACCGCCATTTTCGAAATCATGTAAGCAGTATGCCGCTCAACACTTTACTCAGTAAGCAGTGCATTCAGTTCTCGTTAGAGATGGAAACATATCAAGGTTAACTTGGCCAGCGAGGACTACAACCGATTGCGGAGACACCAACGTTATCGATAGTTAGCAGACACTTACTCCACAGTGAGCCAATACAGTCACCATTGTATTTGCTTTTTAGTGGTGGAAAAACATCGATAACGCCCTCACAAACATCGATATCAGCGATGCTTTGATTCTCCACCTCTAATCGATGTTTCTCCACCTCTACAACACGCGACGAAACAATTTTCCTCAATTCTGTGTTAATTGCTGGTAAAATCGCCAAATATAGTGCAGAAAGTGCAACAGGAAAACGCGCGAGATGAGCGAGACCATAAACACCGCGGCGCAGTTCCCGACCTTCGAGAAGCCGACCGTGCAATTCAACGAGAAGGGCTGGGGTCCCTGCGAATTGCCGGACACCTTCAAGGATGTTCCGTATCAGCCGTTCAGCAAGAACGATCGGCTGGGCAAGATCTGCGACTGGACGAGCACCTCGAACAACGACAAGAAGTACCAGAGTGAGTATTCGGTGGGAGTCACTTAAAACCAGAGACCTCGGAACTTTCCGGCGAAAGTGAGGTTAGGTTGGTGTGTCGTGGCAGGTAATCATTTGGTATTCTCATTCACCCCCAGATAAGTACGCCTCCAGCTTTGGCACGGGCAACCAGTACTCGTACTACCATGAGGAGGACGAGACCACGTTCCACCTGGTGGACACCGCCCGTGTCCAGAAGCCGCCGCACCAGCGCGGTCGTTTCAGGAACATGAGGAACTCGCGTTCCGGACGTGGACGGAATGCCCGTGGCGGCCTGAACACCCACGGAATGACCACGCTGAGTGGCAAGAACGTGAAGGCCCGGGATCCACGTCATGGTCGCGGCATGGGCAAGAAGTTCGGACATCGTGGACCGCCTCCCAAGATGCGCGAATCCTCGGTGGCCGTGCGCGCCGACTGGGCCTCTATCGAGGAGATGGACTTCCCCAGGCTCGTCAAGCTTTCGCTGCCCAACATCAAGGAGGGCGTCGATATCGCCACCTGCGGCACCTTGGAGTACTACGACAAGACCTACGACCGCATCAACGTGAAGAACGAGAAGCCGCTGCAGAAGATCGACCGCATTGTGCACACGGTGACCACCACAGACGATCCCGTCATCCGGCGACTGTCCAAGACCGTCGGCAACGTCTTCGCCACGGACGCCATCCTGGCCACCATCATGTGCTCCACGCGATCGAACTACTCCTGGGACATTGTCATCGAGAAAGTCGGTATGTTAAATAAGATATCAAAAGGATGTCAAAGGCGCAATGTTTAAGTACAACTGCAGAATTATCATCGAGAAAATGAATATTAACGAAAGTGTAGTGGCGCAGCGTTTGAATGGGGACGCCCGTTCAGCACGATACATCGTTTTTTTTTATTTTGTTTCCTATAAAAGAAGAGAAAATAATTTGCGAAAAAAAAATTATTTCGATACCTAATATAGCTCGCAAGATATACAAAGCCGGGGAGAACAGTCTGAATGTTATTTTCAATTTGGCTCAAAACTTTAAATACGTTTTTCTCGACAGCTCATTTTTAAATATACCTATTTCCTTCAGCTTTTAACTAGTAAAGAGGCAAACTTCAGGAAGCCGAAGTTTATGTAAATATTCTATTAATCGATTTCGATGCTTAAAACCATGAAGCTAGTTCAATGTTCCTAAAGATTTTTAGATCCCATAAATCTCAAATATTTACAAATCTATATCTCGGAGAATATTTATTAGGCGGAATATCTATCGACACGCTAACCGCGCAATTATTTCGAAATTAAAATCATAGACGTCATAAGATATCGTACAACAAATGACCCTTGAGGCTGTGACTCACGCGTAAAGACATATTTATTTTGGACGCAGATGCAACAGATTCGATGCTGTCAATAAATACAACATGAAACTGCACGCAAATAAAAACATCTCTTTTTCGCAGGCGACAAGATCTTCATGGACAAACGCGACCACACCGAGTTCGACCTGCTGACCGTGAACGAGAGCAGCGTGGAACCCCCTACCGACGACGACAGCTCGTGCAACTCGCCCCGCAACCTGGCCATCGAGGCCACCTTTATCAACCACAACTTCAGCCAGCAGGTGTTGAAGACTGGCGACCAGGAGGCCAAGTACAAGTTCGAGGAGCCCAACCCGTTCATCAGCGAAGACGAGGACATCCAAGTGGCCAGCGTAGGCTACCGCTACAAGAAGTGGGAGCTGGGTAGCGATATCGTGAGTAGTCGTTCCATTATAATATGAATTGTGAAATGCTTACGCAAAAAGAGTTATATTTAAAATTCTTAGTATTCTTTTTTTTATATTTTTGAAGCTGATTTAACAGACTTATTCCTTATCTTTTTTAGTATGAACTCAAAAAATGAATGAGTAGAAAAAAATTTAGTAATCCCGACATAAAAAACAAAACAAAAACATTTCACTTGCTTTAATCCGGGGCAAGTGTTTTATAGGTATTTTCAAAGACCAATATAATTAAATTGGTCTATGGTATTTTGTGTATAGTTGGAGCAATTAGCTATTCAATTATTCGAAAACTTAATATGTTCACTAAACGAGGTTTTTATTGTTTAGGTAAACTTCAAGTAAAACTTACCAACTATTTTGCTTTTGTCATTCAGGTTCTGGTGGCGCGTTGCGAGCACGACGGTGTCCTTCAGACGCCTAGCGGTGAGCCTCAGTTCATGTCAATCAAGGCGCTCAACGAGTGGGACTCGAAGCTGGCCAACGGCGTGGAATGGCGTCAAAAGCTGGACACGCAGCGCGGAGCCGTGCTGGCCAATGAGCTGAGGAACAACGCCTGCAAGCTGGCCAAGTGGACCGTTCAGGCCGTGCTGGCCGGGTCCGATCAGCTGAAGCTAGGCTACGTTTCCCGTATCAATCCGAGGGACCACTCGCGCCATGTTATTCTCGGCACGCAGCAGTTCAAGCCGCACGAGTTCGCCACCCAGATTAACCTGAGCATGGACAATGCCTGGGGAGTCCTACGGTGCATCATCGATCTGGTCATGAAGCAGAAGGACGGCAAATACCTGATCATGAAGGACCCCAACAAGCCGATCATTCGTCTGTACGACATCCCAGACAACACATTCGACTCCGATGACTCAGACGATGGAGAGGGCGACGACGAAGGGTTCCAGCAGGTCTACAACTACGCGCACAACAAAATTTAGACGCCACGCCCCACTTCAGCATCCCTTCCAGTTTTGGGTTTGAGCCACAACCCGCTAATCATAACCACAACTGATGTCCTCTGTAGGAAACTGCCCATTTCTAGGGCTAAACTTAAGCATTTGTATTCGTATGAAATTCAGCTGTTTCCTAGTAAAACACGGAGGTCGAAAAAAATGTAACTTTTCTGGGTCATACTCGGGGCATGGGTTCATACTGAAAGGGAGTAAATTGATAAACTGCTATCTGAGCTGAATCATTCCCCAAATTAACATATATAAGCTGTGGTGAGATTGTGGAACTTAGTATTATTTGAGTAGAGGACAGTGCAAGATGTTCTTCGGACTAAAAAAATGTATTGTGCTCCTGCTCCAGGCTTTTCTGCTGGCACACTTTTTTCAATTTGGTAACTAGCGACTAGCGGATATTCGTATATTTTTTAAGTCCCGTTACAGACACAGACCTTGTGTAATCTGTTGTGTTGTGAAATACATTTAAAGTCATTAATTTATTTATCAAAAAGTTTTTTAAAAAGACCTTACACATTTCTTTGGGAATTATCTATTCCCATTATAGTTTTGACAATTTTCGTCATTTTAATGTGAATTGAACCCTGAAAAAACATGACTGTATTTTCAACAAGAAAGGAAAGCTAACTTCGGACGGAGCCGAAGTTGATATACCCTTGCAGAATATTCTGTAAATTATATTCTTCAAAATTATTAATTTGATGCATTCTTAATACTCATAAAAAGTCCCAATTTCCTAATTTTAAAAACACCAAAGTTATGACATTTCCAATCGTTAAGTTATATGGCAGCTATAAGATATAGTCGGCATAGTATAGTAGTTATGAAATTTGGTATGTCGGATTGATTGGCCAAAAATAAAACCCATAGAAAATCCCAACTTCTTAACTTTACAAACACCAAAGTTATGGCACTTCCGATCATACAGTTATATGGCGGCTATAGGATATAGTCGTCCGATCCTTATGAAATTCGGTAGGTCGGATTAATTGGCCAAAAATAAAGCTCATAGAAAATCCCTTCTTCCTAACTTTAAAAACACCAAAGTTATGGCTTTTCCGATCATTCAGTTATATGGCAGCTATATGATATAGTTGCCCGATCCGGCTCGTTCCGACTTATATACTACCTGCAATAAAAAGACAACTTTTGGGAAAGTTTCAAGCAGATAGCTTTAAAACTGAGGGACTAGTTTGCGTAGAAACGGACGGACGGACGGACAGACGGACATGGCTAGATCGACTCTCGTGGTGATGCTGATCAAGAATATATATACTTTATAGGGTCGGAAATGTCTCCTTCACTGCGTTGCAAACTTTTGACTGAAATACAAAAGAATTATTTTACATCTAGGAAGATCGGTGTTTTAGCTCACAAGCCAATAAGTTGTGAGCGACTGTGTATTTAAAATGGAAGTGTGGCTTGAAATGTCAACAAATTCGATGTAATTACCACAGTCAGTTTCTATATTTTAAAGTGTTTTTTATACCCTTGCAGAGGGTATTATAATTTTGGTCAAAAGTGTGCAACGCAGTGAAGGAGACATCTCCGACCCTATAAAGTATATATATTCTTGATCAGGATCACCTCCTGAGTTGATATAGCCATGTCCGTCTGTCCGTCTGTCCGTCTGTCCGTCTGTCTGTCCGTCTGTCTGTTTCTACGCGAACTAGTCTCTCAGTTTTAAAGATATCGAATTGAAACTTTGCACACACCCTTCTTTCCTTTGCACGCAGTATATAAGTCGGAACGGCCGGGATCGGCCGACTATATCCTATAGCTGCCATATAACTGATTGATCGGAAATGCCATAACTCTGCTGTTTGTTAGGTTAGGAAGTTGGGACTTTCTATGGGTTTTATATTTGGCCAATCAATCCGACGTACCAAATTTCATAAGGATCGGCCGACTATATCTTATAGCTGCCATATAACTGATTGATCGGAAATGCCATAACTTTGGTGTTTGTAAAGTTAGGAAGTTGGGATTTTCTATGGGTTTTATATTTGGCCAATCAATCCGACGTACCAAATTTCATAAGGATCGGCCGACTATATCTTATAGCTGCCATATAACTGATTGATCGGAAATGCCATAACTTTGGTGTTTGTAAAGTTAGGAAGTTGGGATTTTCTATGGGTTTTATATTTGGCCAATCAATCAGACGTACCAAATTTCATAAGGATCGGCCGACTATATCTTATAGCTGCCATATAACTGATTGATCGGAAATGCCATAACTTTGGTGTTTGTTAAGTTAGGAAGTTGGGATTTTTTATGAGTATTAAGAATGCATTATGAATGATTTTGGAGAATATAATTTGCAGAATATTCTGCAAGGGTATTTCAACTTCGGCTCCGCCCGAAGTTAGCTTTCCTTTCTTGTTTTATCGAAACATTGCTTTTAAACACATTAGAGTGAATGGCTGATTTGTAGTCGAATTAGTGATACACAAACGCTTTTCCCTTTTATTATAAGTTTGAAATTAAAGATTACTGGTTGATAAAATCATTAAATTATCTCTGTAAAGAGTGTAAAATATTCCAGAGTTCACGAAACAGGACTTTTAATATTGGTTTCGTATTCATTTTTTTCTAGTCTCTCAGTTTTAAAGCTATCGAATTGAAACTTTGCACACACCCTTCTTTCCTTTGCACGCAGTATATAAGTCGGAAAGGCCGGGATCGGCCGACTATATCCTATAGCTGCCATATAACTGATTGATCGGAAATGCCATAACTTTGGTGTTTGTAAAGTTAGAAAGTTGGGATTTTCTATGGGTTTTATATTTGGCCCATCAATCCGACCTACCAAATTTCATAAGGATCGGCCGACTATATCCTATAGCTGCCATATAACTGATTGATCGGAAATGCCATAACTTTGGTGTTTGTAAAGTCAAAAAGTTGGGATTTTCTACAGATTTAATATTTGGCCAATCAATCCGACCTACCAAATTTCATAAGGATCGGCCGACTATATCCTATAGCTGCCATATAACTGAACGATTGGAAATGCCATAACTTTGGTGTTTTTAAAGTTAGGAAGTTTGGATTTTTTATGAGTATTAAGAATGCATCAAATTAATAATTTTGGAGAATATAATTATAGAGTATTCTGCAAGGGTATATCAACTTCGGTTCCGCCCGAAGTTAGCTTTCCTTTCTTGTTTTTACATGAAACCAATTTTAATCTCTAGATGTGGCTTATACTTGTTCGCCGGGAGAGAAATGCGTCAAGCTGCATAAATGTCCACAACTAGCCAACCTCAAGACCTATAACCCTATGTTTATTATAAAAAGATTTTGCGACGTTGGCGGCTACTGCTGCCCGGCGGAGTCGGGAGACTTCCTGCCAGATCCCCCAACCTGCGGAAAAACCCCGGCCGTCCCCCGAATTATGAATGGCAAAGAGGTTCAACTCAACTCGTTGCCCTGGATGGCCTTGCTTATTTACCAGAATCGAAAAACCTTGTGGAGGTACTCGACTACTATGTGCGCTGGCTCGCTGATCAACAGCCGATACGTCCTGACTGCAGCCCACTGCCTATACCCCGCCGGGGACTACATCAAGAGTGTGCGCCTGGGCGAGCACGACACCTCCACCAATCCTGACACCGTCGTACTAAGCAATGGAGGACGAAAAACCGCTCCCCCATATCTGGAAGTCAACGTGGAGGATGTAGTCCGGCATCACAACTTTTATGAGCACGAGAAAATATACATTAATGACATCGCCCTGCTGCGACTCGAGCTGCCAGTACGGTGAGTGATTGTTACATACCGACATATATTTTAAATTTAAAAAAAAGAGAAATCAGACCAAATTTGTTAAATTTCCATTTCATAATTCGCATAGAAAACTGTTGTGTAGTATATTATTTTACTTATCCAAATTTCTTCCCTCAGATATACAAGGGAAATCCGACCCATATGTCTTCTACCTGACTATCACTTCGCAAATAACTACTTTGAAAACTCTAGTTTGCGAATTGCTGGGTGGGGCGCTTCCCATATTCAATCCAATAAAGTATTGCTATCGGGCAATGTAAAAGGATTGAATCCATCTGAGTGCCAAAAGTTACACTTCCGCCGAGATATTCACATATGTGCAGGTGGGCAGGATGGGACGGACACTTGTAAAGGCGACTCCGGTGGTCCGCTAATGGCCACCATGGGAACAAGTTACAATGAATTCGTATATCTAGCCGGCATTACCTCCTACGGATCTTCTGAGTGCGGATGGCGACCAGGTGTATACACAAGTACTATTAAGTTTATCGATTGGATTAAGACAAAGATAAAGCCTTAAGGGTTGATTTTAATTTCCACAAACGTTCCATTAAGTGAAAAAATGAAATGATCATACGATTTATAATCAGACTAACAAAAAGTGTATACAATATTAAAGCAATAGTTACATTAAATATCAAATTGACTGGAACAGAGTTTCTATGAGGAGTTGAGTTATTTTAATATCATGCCCTTAAATGTAAGCATATATAATATTAATATATATTATTTTGAAGTTTTAAATGTTTTGACTGAAAATAGTAAATTTCTGAACAAAATTATTTGTTTAATTCTTTATGTTTTTGAATAAAACAAAATACAAGAAAGAAAGTTAGCTAATACAGGTACTATTATAAAAATGTTTGAATCATAAGTTTTCCCAAAATATGTGATAGTTGGGTAAAAACTAAAAAAAATTGGACTCTCCCTTAATTACTCATCTCTCAACGAATGCAGATATGTACGCCTATATAAGAGCGTACGGATGAGCATATGGAGCAGTCTTTTTTCAACCGCACGCAGTCCATCATAGTTTCCGGAATCAAAGTGTATATTTGGCTACTGTTGCAGGCTTTTCTTCTGGAACAGTCAGATGGATTTGGTGGGTTGATCAAGAGACATTCGTGCTTGGCTTAATTTTTCACTTGGTTTACATTTAAATTGTTAATAAGTAAAATTTGTATCTATCTATCTATGGACCGGAATTCAGCCCGATGTCTGCCAAATGAGGAATGTATCAGACTCGGCCAGTGTCCACGCTTGTTTCACTTCATTAAGTCCTGTGAAATCGATAAACATCATACTTTTTTGGACAAGCGGATCTACATCTGCTGTGAGAGACCAGATAAGGGCCAGCCAAGAGTTACAGATTGCCACTCCGATGAGAAATAAAGAAAATAATTTTCGAAAGAATAAGTATTTCGATACCTAATATAGCTCGCAAAATATACCTATTTCCTTCAGCTTTTAACTAGTAAAGAGGCAAACTTCAAACCTATGGAAGCTCAATGAAATAATATGGCTCGAATAACAAATTTTATTTTTATGTTTCAACGTTTTTGCGTAGGGTGTGAACTTAAATTTTTGTCTTAACATCTAAGGAAAATGTTATTTAATAGGAAGTAAAAATTAGTAGCGAAATATTCGGTAGGTGGAATGACAAAAAAGAAAGAAGGAAAAATTTGGTCAAACTTTATGTCGTTTTTCATATAATATAAATTGTCAGTCCAAAAGTGAAATTAATAAGAAAGAATGTTTAGGATTATAAACAAAGTATTTAAAAGTAAATGTTAGTATTTCTTAATAACTTAAAAGCAATGTTAAATTAAATTAAATTTCTTGATTTAGGACTAAAGCCTTGAATAGATTGATATTAGGTAAATATTTTAAATATTTCTAAATGTAGATATTCATTTTTATACCTTCGTGGTAGGGGCTATTTATTAGGCGGAATATGTTTATTTGGTCCATATCCATCGACACACTAACCGCGCAAATATTTCGGAATTAAAATCAGAGACGTCATAAGATATCGAACAACAGATGAAGCTTGAGGCTGTGATTCACGCGCAAATACATATTTATTTTGAAATTATTTAAACTGAACTGTCATTTGCAATTAACTTCACAGGCCGATATTTCCAACATATTTCGATCGCCCCGCAACCTGGCCATCGAGGCCACCTTCATCAACCACAACTTCAGCCAGCAGGTGTTGAAGACTGGCGACCAGGAGGCCAAGTACAAGTTCGATGAGACCAACCCGTTCATCAGCGAAGACGAGGACATTCAAGTAGCCAGCGTGGGCTACCGCTACAAGAATTGGGAGCTGGGTAGCGATATCGTAAGTAGTCGTAATAATAATAATAATAACACAAATTGTGAAATGCTTACGCAAAAAGAGTTCTATTTAAAATACGTAGTATTCTTTTTTTATATTTTTTAAGTTGATTCAACAGACTTATTCCTTATCTTTTTATACCCTTGCAGAGGGTATTATAATTTCAGTCAAAAGTTTGCAACGCAGTGAAGGAGACATTTCCGACCCTATAAAGTATATATATTCTTGATCAGCATCACCAGGAGAGTCGATCTAGCCATGTCCGTCGGTCCGTCCGTCCGTCCGTTTCTACGCAAACTAGTCCCTCAGTTTTAAAGCTATCTGCTTGAAACTTTCCCAAAAGTTGTCTTTCTATTGCAGGTAGTATATAAGTCGGAACGAGCCGGATCGGGCCACTATATCATATAGCTGCCATATAACTGAACGATCGGAAAAGACATAACTTTGGTGTTTTTAAAGTTAGGAAGTTGGGACTTTTTATGAGTATTAAGAATGCATCATATGAATAATTTTGGAGAATATAATTTATAGAATATTCTGCAAGGGTATATAAACTTCGGCTCCGCCCGAGGTTAGCTTTCCTTTCTTGTTTAGTATGAACTCAAAAAATGAATGAGTGGAAAAAAATTTAGTAATCCCGACATAAAAAACAAAAAAAACATTTCACTTGCTTTAATCCGGTTTCCATCTGCGTCAACCATTATAATCCATTGCGTAGGGGCAAGTAGTTTTATAAGTATTTGTATAGTTGGAGCAATTAGCTATTCAATTATTCGAAAACTTAATATGTTCACTAAACGTGGTTTTTATTGTTTAAGTAAACTTCATGTAAAACTAACCAACTATTTTGCTTTTATCATTTAGGTTCTGGTGGCACGTTGCGAGCACGACGGTGTCCTTCAGACGCCTAGCGGTGAGCCTCAGTTCATGTCAATCAAGGCGCTCAACGAGTGGGACTCGAAGCTGGCCAACGGAGTGGAATGGCGTCAAAAGCTGGACACGCAGCGCGGAGCCGTGCTGGCCAATGAGCTGAGGAACAACGCCTGCAAGCTGGCCAAGTGGACCGTTCAGGCCGTGCTGGCCGGGTCCGATCAGCTGAAGCTAGGCTACGTTTCCCGTATCAATCCGAGGGACCACTCGCGCCATGTTATTCTCGGCACGCAGCAGTTCAAGCCGCACGAGTTCGCCACCCAGATTAACCTGAGCATGGACAATGCCTGGGGAGTCCTACGGTGCATCATCGATCTGGTCATGAAGCAGAAGGACGGCAAATACCTGATCATGAAGGACCCCAACAAGCCGATCATTCGTCTGTACGACATCCCAGACAACACATTCGACTCCGATGACTCAGACGATGGAGAGGGCGACGACGAAGGGTTCCAGCAGGTCTACAACTACGCGCACAACAAAATTTAGACGCCACGCCCCACTTCAGCATCCCTTCCAGTTTTGGGTTTGAGCCACAACCCGCTAATCATAACCACAACTGATGTCCTCTGTAGGAAACTGCCCATTTCTAGGGCTAAACTTAAGCATTTGTATTCGTATGAAATTCAGCTGTTTCCTAGTAAAACACGGAGGTCGAAAAAAATGTAACTTTTCTGGGTCATACTCGGGGCATGGGTTCATACTGAAAGGGAGTAAATTGATAAACTGCTATCTGAGCTGAATCATTCCCCAAATTAACATATATAAGCTGTGGTGAGATTGTGGAACTTAGTATTATTTGAGTAGAGGACAGTGCAAGATGTTCTTCGGACTAAAAAAATGTATTGTGCTCCTGCTCCAGGCTTTTCTGCTGGCACACTTTTTCCAATTTGGTAACTAGCGACTAGCGGATATTCGTATATTTTTTAAATCCCGGTACACACACAGATTTTGTGTAATCTGTTATGTTGTGAAATACATTTAAAGTCATTAATGTATTTATCAGAAAGTTTTTTTAAAAGACTACACATTTCTTTGGGAATTATCTATTCCTATTATAGTTTTGACAATTTTCGTCATTTTAATGTGATTTGAACGCTGAAAAAACATGACTGTATTTTCAAAAAAAAAACTTCTCAATTTAAAAGTTACAAAAAATACAAAATAATTATTTTACATCTAGGAAGATCGGTGTTTTAGCACAAAAGCCAATAAGTTGTGAGCGACTGTGTATTAAAAATGGAAGTTTGGCTTGAAATGTCAACAAATTCGATCTAATTACCACAGTCAGTTTCTATATTTTAAAGTGTTTTTTTTATCGAAAAATTGCTTTTAAACACATTCTTAAAGTGAATGGCTGATTTGTAGTCGAATTAGTGACACACAAATACTTTTCCCTTTTATTATGAGTTTGAAATTAAAAATTACAGGTTAATATAATCATTAAATTATCTCTGTAAAGAGTGTAAAGTATTCCTGAGTTCCCGAAACAAGACTTTTATCGGTTTCGTATTAATAATTTTTACATGGAACCAATTTTAATCTCTAGCTGCGGCTTATACTTGTTCGCGGGGAGAGAAATGCGTCGAGCTGCATAAATGTCCACAACTAAGAGATATAGCCAACCGCAAGTCCTTTGATTATGCTTCGAGTGAGTTTATTATAACAAGAATGTGCGGAGATCCCAAAGATGGCGGCTACTGCTGCCCGGCGGAGTCGGGTGACTTCCTGCCAAATCCCCCAACCTGCGGAATAACCCCGGCCGTCTCCCGAATTATGAATGGCAAAGAGGCGGATCTCAACTCGTTGCCCTGGATGGCCTTGCTTCTTTACCAGAATCGAAGAACCTTGCGGACGTACTCGACTACTATGTGCGCTGGCTCGCTGATCAACAGCCGATACGTCCTGACTGCAGCCCACTGCATCTTATTCACCGAGGATTCCATCAAGAGTGTGCGCCTGGGCGAGCACAACACCACCTCCAATCCTGACACCGTCAATCCAAACACTACAAACTCGAAAACCGCTCCCCCGTATTTGGAGGTCAAAGTGGGGGACGCAATCTATCATCATAACTTTCATTCGGTCAACGGAGTATACATTAATGACATCGCCCTGCTGCGACTCGATCTGCCAGTACGGTGAGTGATTGGTATATATTTTAAATAAATAAAAAAAAAAATGTATAGAAACAATTCAATCAAATTTTTTAAATTTCCATTTCCTAACTCGCATAGAAAACTGTTGTGTTGTGTATTATTTTACTTATCCAAATTTCTTCCCTCAGCTATACAAGGGAAATCCGACCCATATGTCTTTCACCCGGCCCTCACTTCGCTAATCACCACTTTGAAAACTATAATTTGAAAGTTGCCGGATGGGGCGCTTCGCATAAACAAAAGAATACTGTATTGCTGTGGGGCAATGTAACAGGATTGAATCCATCTAAGTGCCAAAACTTACACTTCCGCCGAGATATTCACATATGTGCAGGTGGGCAGGATGGGACGGACACTTGTAAAGGCGACTCCGGTGGTCCGCTAATGGCCACTATAGGAAAAAGTTACAATGAATTCGTATATCTAGCCGGCATTACCTCCTACGGATCTTCTGCTTGCGGATGGCGACCAGGTGTATACACAAGTACTATCAAGTTTATCGATTGGATTAAGACAAAGCTGAAGCCTTAAGGGTTGATTTTAATTTCCACAAACGTTCCATTAAGTGAAAAAATTAAATGATCATACGATTTATAATCAGACTAATAACAAGAGAGAACGTCATAGTCGGGTGCCCCGACTATCAGATACCGTACCAGGTAAAGAGTGCGGGGGAGATGGAGATAGAAACTTTGATCACGCATAACTTTTTAAAAAATTTAAAAATTTCTTCTACATTTCGATAGGTATTGATAAACACAATAAAACTGCATTTTTACTTTTCCGAAATATTTAAATTTTTAAAATCGTATATAAGCGATTGTGGGCGTTTAAGGGGCGTGGCACCTTTTGAAACAAACTTGCGCTGCGTAGGAACTCCTAGAATCTGCATGCAAAATGCCAATCTTCTAGCTTTTATAGTTTCCGAGATCTCAGCGTTCATACGGACAGACAGACAGACGGACAGACGGAGAGACGGACAGACGGACAGACGGACATGGCTATATCGACTCGGCTAGTGACCCTGATCAAGAATATATATACTTTATAGGGTCGGAAACGCTTCCTTCTAGCTGTTACATACTTTTGCACGAATACAATATACCCTTTTACTCTACGAGTAACGGGTATAAAAAGTGTATACAATATTAAAGAAATAGTTATATTAAATATCAAATTGACTGGAACAGAGTTTCTATGAGGAGTTGAGTTATTTTAATATCATGCCCTTAAATGTAAGTATATATAATATTAAAATATATTATTTTGAAGTTTAAAATGTTTTGACTGAAAATAGTACATTTCTGAACAAAATTATTTGTTTAATTATTTATGTTTTGAATAAAATAAAATACAAGAAAGAAAGTTAGCAAATACAGGTACTATTATAAAAATGTTTGAATCATAAGCTTTCCCCAAATATGTGATAGTTGGGCCGTTGGGTAAAAAATAAATAAAAAATTGGGCTCTCCCTTAATTACTCATCTCTCTCAGCTAATGTAGATATGTACGCCTATATAAGAGCGTACGGAGGAGCATATGGAGCAGTGTTTTTTCAACCGCTCGCAGTCCATCATGGTTTCCGGAATCAAAGTGTATATTTGGTTGCTGCTGCAGGCTTTTCTTCTGGCACAGTCAGATGGATATGGTTGGTTGATCAAGAGACATTCGTCCTTGGCTTAATTTTTCACTTGGTTTACATTTAAATTGTTACTAAGTAAAATTTGTATCTATCTATCTATGGACCGGAATTCAGCCCGATGTACGCCAAATGAGGAATGTATCAGACTCGGCCAGTGTCCACGCTTGTTTCACTTCATTAAGTCCTATCGCTATTTGGGAAAAGTGCTCGATGTGTTGAATTCGACGACGTGTGAAATCGGTAAACATCATACTTTTTTGGACAAGCGGATCTACGTCTGCTGTGAGAGACCAGATAAGGACCAGCCAAGAGTTACAGATTGTCACTCCGATGAGAAATGCGTCAGAATAAAAGAGTGCCAAACTTTGGATAAGACCGACAAGTCCAACAAAGTCACTCAGTCCCGGTATAAAATATACAAAGACAGGACTTGCTCCATCAATACCAGAAAAGTCTCTTTGAATCAAAAGAGATACGTCTGCTGTCCCCAGCGTGTTAACCTGCTGCCAGATCATAGCAACTGCGGTGCACGTCCACTAGTTTCTAGAATTTTTAATGGCAACGCATTGCACCCCAACGACTTCCCATGGATGGCTTTGCTTTTGTACGAGAATAAGAAAGGGGAACTAGACTACAAATACAGATGTGGGGGCTCCCTGATCAACAACCGATACGTCCTGACCGCAGCTCACTGTCTGACCCGTCCAGAAGTGCCAAGTGATTTAGAGATCAAGCGTGTGCGGCTTGGCGAGCATAACATCACCTCCAATCCCGACTGCTTCACATTTGGGGATGGAAAGTCGCAGTGCGCTCCTAAGCATCTGGAAATCGTCGTGGAGTCGTTTATTGTGCATCCGGCCTACCACGAAACCAGTCAAATTGAAGGCGACATTGCCTTGATTCGCCTCAAAAAGCTAGTACCGTGAGTAATAACTTCCTGACTCGATAGAGTTCGAATGAATCATAATATATTAAATTTGAATTTGAATTTCCATTTCGTTAGCTTTTCGAAAGAAATAAGACCGATTTGTGTTCCGAGGGAACCATTTTAATTGAAGAACCTGCATCTTGAGATAGCCGGCTGGGGCGAAACGGAAAGCGGGAATGGCAGTGAAGTGTTGTTGCACAACACCGTTAAGATAGCAAATTATACTTATTGCCAAAAATTGTATAACGATTTTTTTACGGAGTCCCAAATTTGCACAGGTGACTCGTCTAAAAATGACCCTTGCTTTGGCGATTCTGGTGGTCCGCTGATGGCCACCATTGGACTTAGCCACCAAGAATCTATGTATGTAGTCGGAATTGTATCTTATGGAAATTTTACCTGCGGACACCACAGTGCTTACACAAAAACTGCAGCATTCTTCAATTGGATACAGAAGAATCTGAAACCATAAGCGTGGTTTTATTACTTTCCATTTATTTAACTTTTGTCATCTTATTTCAAAATATTAAAGGTTAATCGAAACATTTTCTATAAATATTGCCTATTTTAATAAAAGAAACAATAATTACTTCAAAAATGTAAAGTTACCTCTTGCTAACCATGTAACATGAAATGATTTAGTCTTAATTTTAATGTCTCGAAATAAATTCCTAAAATACAAAATACTCAATGTGACTAACCATTGCCAAAAAAGACTACAGAAGATTTAGTCAATACCTTTTGTGTGAGTAAGTCAAAATTCATAGACACATACAAAATAAATATATTATAAATATAAATAATAATACAAATTGATTTGGTAAATTTTCCTTGACTTAAGAAATTTGCTTTCGTTGTGTATACTTGGGTTGGGCTCACTTAATTTAAAAATTTCCCATGAATTGCGATAACCGAGCATTTTTAATTTCTTTTTTTGAACACTTACTCACGCAGTAAAGTGGTATATTGTATTCATGCAAAAGGTCGTTGAAAGGCAGAAGTTTAAGTTTCGCACATTGTAAGATATTTATTTATTACTCTCAGTTTAATGTGTTACTCATAAGGGCATGACATCAATTAAACTTAATTCTTTATTAATAATCGAAGACATTTATTGAGTCGATAGAGATGTCTGCCTATCTGTATTTAAATTATTAAAAGTCGTCCCGTCGGAGTTATCGTAGGTGTCACTCCCTCACATCCGTCCAGTTGCTTCGGTTTTACTGGCCTATACTCAGTCTGTATAAAATTTTAAAGTCAAACGGCTATTGCCGTTTTTTATTAATATAAAAGCAAAGCTGAAACTTATAAGTTGAAAAACACGCCACCGCTGGTGACCCAAAAGCGAATATGCTACGTCAGCCCTAACTCGAAGCTCTACGCTTTTGGTTACTTTCTTAGCTTATACATTTATGTATATTCATCCGAATGAGCGAGGAAACTTTGGGATCTATTGAATTAATCAAACCAATTCTTGGAAGTATATTACGAGTTTTTTAAATCAATTCAAGCTCCATATCGGCACTATCATATTTATATCGATATTCTGTGTTAAGATTTGTAATTTTGGACGACACAACTTATGCTTACCAACTTTTTTAGACCATAAAAACAAATTCTTCTTTTCTTAACAACTTTTCTAAATTTTATTGCCCCAAAAACGCCGTGAAACAGCGACTAACTGCATCCTGGGAAAGGCTCAACGCGATTCTTGCGTAGGACGAACTGAATTTTGCGGTTCATATCCTCGTTATAAATGGCCTTGCACTTCTCGAAATTTATACGACGACGCACCTAAAAACGTCACGATTAATATAAAAGTACCACAATAAATAAAGTAATTTAAAATCTAACCTGGTAGGGCTTCTCATAGAACCGAGTGCGGCGAAACTGGTCGAGGAGCTCTTCCTTGCCCAGCACTCGATTGAGCAAGCGACACGCCTCCTCCACATTGTTGTTTTGCACAAGGACGGTGCGGGCCAAGAATTGTACGTGCCTCATCTGTGCGACCCAGTTTTATTTCAATAAATCAACAATAATTTAATAAATAATTAATTTATTAAATAACCAACTTCTAAAACAGTGTGACCACTCGAAAAGCCCAAAACAGCTGGACGGAACAGCATGTGGCAGGGTTGTCGGCGAACAAAGAAATTTAATATCGATATTCGTTCCATTAACATTAAACTAAATTTAGAAGAAAACAAATAAAAATGTTTTTCGCTTATTAAAATCTGTAAAAATTTAGAGGTATTCAGAACAATTAAATATAAGCCTAAAAACAAAAATAATACCTTTAGTATTTAATTGCTTTGAATAAATTTGTTAAAATTGTTATTATTAACATACTTTACATGTTAATATCAACGTTAAATTGTTTTATTATTATTTATGATTCATGGCTTACCATGTAACAGTTTCCATCCACAGCTACGTCAGCCTTTTCTAGTGCATGTTCCGATTGCTATACTTGTCCCGATTTCATATGAATTAAATTAAGTATGAAGAGAGAAAAAATTGCCATGTTTTTGCCCTAAAACATAACTTTCTGGCCCACAGTGCAATGATATTGTCAAAGTGGTTGGAGTTAACAGAGCGTTAGAACTGGAGTGTTATCGTTAACAGTGCGGACGAACTGGATATATTCGATACTCGTTAGAGACGTATGAACATCGATGACGCTCTGCTAAACATCGATATTTGAAAACATCGATTACTGGTCATCGAGGTCTCCCCACCTTTATTTTCTTCCTAGCGTGGCGGCCATAGTAAGCTGTTGAAAAGTACTCGAAGTGAATTAAAATTATTGTAAAAGTGTAACCCCAAAGAACGCAGCTGCGAAAGTGCCTATTTGCTTTAGACTCGACACGACACGAAGGAAAGGTGAGTTTCGGTGGGCTAATTATAATTCCACCTGATTTTGCACATTTCGCATTGCATTGTGGGAATGTGTGAGTGTACGTGTGTACTTGGTAGACACTTCCTTTTCGCTTGATTCTCATTTTTCCCGTTAAGTAATCAGCGATAATTGTTTTCTATACGAGTTTTCGCTTCGATTTTTGGCTTTGGTTTTGCAAAATCGATGGCTCTCTCGTTTTGCACCTCCTCTTTGTTCAACCGAATTATTCTGACGCAGCGTCTTGCGCGGCACATGTTGGTACCCATACAAACGCCCAAATGGTGTGTATATGTGTGATCGATTTACGTTGGTAAAAATATAGTTGATTTACCAATTCGCTTAGCTTAAATCAATAGCTACTTGAATTTAGTTCCATTTTGTTTTCGAGTCTGCCCTTTCCCCTTTGTCTGCCTCTCTCCCGTTTTCCATTATCACGCTCTTCACTTTGCGGTCGCCGTTCGCAAGCCAGGGCTGCATCGCGCTGACGAAATTTTCTAGAAACTGTGTATGAGTGAGTGCGCAAGAGGTAACTATGAGTGTTGGAGGGGAGAAAAGAGAGCGTCAGCTGCTCGCCGAATTGAAATAGGAAAAAGTTCTAGAAATCGTCGAGAAAACTTCGCAGTTATTTTCGCAAACACATGGCGGCGGATCGACCTTGAAACACGGGCTCTTGCTTCCGGTAATTTCCCCACCCCTTTCGACCACCCACTACCCCACAGTTAGAAAAAAAAAAAGTGCTAGTCTCGAGACTCAGCTGTAGAAATCAATAAAAAGTAAATATGGTTTGGCAAAGACAAAATTATATTTTTTTTCCTAGCAAGAAGCATACATTTTATTACAGAAAAGCCGGTAAACGCTTCCTAACAATCGGCTAAAATAAATTGTTGAAATGTATGAATAACGTTTAAAATATTTTGTTGAATATGAAAAGAAACTGACATCTTTTGTGTTTAATCAAAATCGTATGATATAAATCCATTATTTTTTTTATACGTAAATTTATAAAGTTTAACCCTGAGTCTTTGAATGTTTCTTAAAATTCAAAACTATCTTTTTATTGAGCATTAAATCCATTTGACTAAAATTAACCTTCACATTCTTCAAAATATTGCTTAGCATTGGTATAAATGAAATCAAAATTTCGTTTCAGTTATTAAATATAGCGTATATAATACATAATCTTAATCTATTGCAGTAAACAGCCAACAAAATGGTCAAGGAGACTGGATACTATGACCTGCTGGGCGTAAAGCCCAACGCCACGCCCGACGAGCTGAAGAAGGCCTATCGGAAGCTGGCCCTCAAGTACCATCCCGACAAGAATCCCAACGAGGGCGAGAAGTTCAAGGCCATCTCGCAGGCGTACGAGGTGCTGTCCGATGCGGACAAGCGACAGGTCTACGACGATGGTGGCGAGGCGGCCATCAAGAAGGGTGGTGCCGATTCCGGGGACTTCCGCAATCCGATGGACTTCTTTGAAAAGTTCTTTGGCGCTGGCTTCGGTGGTGGCGGCGGTGGACGGCGGCGCGAGAGACGTGGCAAGGACGTCGTGCACCAGATGTCTGTGCAGCTGGAGGAGCTGTACAACGGAGCCACCCGGAAGCTGCAGCTCCAGAAGAACGTTATCTGCGACAAGTGCGAGGGTCGCGGCGGCAAGAAGGGCAGCATTGAGAAGTGCATGCAATGCCGGGGCAATGGTGTGGAGACCCGGGTCCAGCAGATCGCCCCTGGCATCATGCAGCACATTGAACAGGTGTGCCGCAAGTGCTCGGGAACAGGCGAAACCATCCTGGAGAAGGATCGCTGCAAGAACTGCAGTGGCAGGAAAACGGTGCGGGAACGCAAGGTCCTCGAAGTGCACATCGAGAAGGGTATGCGGGACGGCCAGAAGATCGTGTTCACGGGCGAAGGCGATCACGAGCCGGAATCTCAGCCGGGCGATATTATTATCCTGCTGGACGAGAAGGAGCACGCGACATTCGCGCACGCCGGGCAAGATCTGATGATGAAGATGCCGCTGCAGCTTGTTGAAGCTCTCTGCGGATTCCAGCGAATCGTCAAAACCCTGGACGATCGCGATCTTATTGTGTCCACGCAGCCCGGCGAGGTTATCAGGCACGAGATGACCAAGTGCATTGCCGAGGAGGGCATGCCCATCTTCAAAAATCCCATGGAGAAGGGCACGCTGATCATTCAGTTCGAGGTGATCTTTCCGGAGGTGATGAATCCGTCGGTAGTGCCCACACTCAAACAGTGCCTACCGCCGGCGCCGGAGGTTGACATTCCAATCGATGCAGAGCAGACGGTTTTGGTGAGTACCAAATGGGGAATTTAAGAAGACGAATCATGGAATAGTAACTAAGCCATAGAGCAAATATATAAAAATTTTTATAATAATTATATTATTATCATACATCTTATAAATGGATATTTTAATGCTTCTTTTTTTCTTTCTAAAATGAATTATCTTTTTAAGAGTTTTTGAGCTTTTGACCTTAAAGACTGTTTATTTGTTTATTTAATTTGAGAGACAAATTATAACAAACAGCCCTTAGACCAACAGATTCATAGTAAATACGAGATATTGATAGTTCCATATTGAACCCTCCACTATCACATTGCTAATTTGTCGATTGACTTTTTTTCCGCAGGAGGACTTCGATCCCAAGCAACGCCGCCAGCAACACCAGCGCATGGCCTACGATGAGGACGATGGTGGCTATCAGGATGGCCCTCGCGTCCAGCAGTGCACATCGAGTTAAGCGCCCCCGCTGCGTGTTGCAACCCCGGACACACACCCCTAATAATACCCCAATCAACAAGCAGTAATAATATGTAAACCAGCTCCCGGAACACTGTAACTGCGCTTGCAATGGCCGAAGAACTCCCTAATGCACCCCAACACACCATCCAACACACACTAGGAGACCCAACCAAACGAGATCTAAAGTTATTTCATGCAAGCTACGATATTTAGGTATAAATCAAAGGAACTTATCAGATATATGCACTATGTCTATAACGCGTGGTTGTTTGAAAACCAATGGGACATTTTTCTTTTCGTTTATGTTGCGTTGGATTGTCTAAGAATCGAAACGAATACTGAAACTAAACTAAACTGAAATTGAAAATCAGCCGCCACTAGAACCGTATCTAAAGTCCGCGCCAGCGAACGCGTCTAGGAACAAGTTTAAGTTATTTAATTCCAGCATAAATAAAAGCGTTAGTTTAAACGGATATAACAAATAAATAATTAATACACAATTTCAACTCAATCGTTGTACTTTGTTCTTCTTATAGTTCCAGTTTCACCTACCCCAGTTATCTGGTTGATTGGATTATTACTGCACAGTCATCTGGGGTGTGAATCATGCTCCCATTGAAGATATCTGGCATATAGCAGCCGTAAATGTGCCTAGCGTGATTAATTTGGCTCCCATTTCTGGTACATTATTTAAATGGCTATCTTGGATAAGTGGGAGATATAACTTAAATGTGAGATAATTTGGAATTAAAGTAAAGCGACAGTGAACTCTTTTAATCAATTTTCCTTGGTTTTGAAATAAATATCCAAGAGCAATTGTTTGACAGAGTTTAAAATATATGTTTTTTTCTTGATATTAATATAGTGCACCTAAAAAAACGATAGTGCTAACTTTTAAAAGGTTTGAAATTAATGAATAATCCAAGCGCGTCTAAAAAGTTAGCATTCGGGATAAAAAAGCAGTCAAATTTGTAAAATATCTTGGAAATTTATTTACAAAATTTCAAGGTGAACTCTACAAAAATAATATTGTAGATGTTAGTAACTAATGTGCAAAATTTCGGAGTGCAGCCACGACTCCAGTCCCATAGATAAGCTTCTCCTCCACTCGATGCCAAGCCTCCTGCTGCACCTGGGAAACACTGCGCAGCGCCTTTACCAATTCCGGAGACTCCGTCAATCCAAGACCGTGGGATCGCAGGAAGACACTCAAATAGGATTGAGCCAGCTCAAAGTTCAGGTTTGTTCCGAACATGAATTCTACGAGTTTGAGGAACTGTAGCATGGCCAGAAGGGTTCCTCCAGCCTCCGGGTGAAGTGACTTGATCTCAAAGTCCACCATCGAGGGACCAAGTTGCGTCAAGTGCGCCACAGCGGGTGCGAACTCTTGGCTGTCAGATGTTTCCTCCAACAGCTGTCCAAAGGCAGTTAGATTGTTAAGCGTAGAAGCTTTTCGGATTCGGGAACTGTCTCCCTCCTTTTGTCCATTTTGTACATCGAAGCGAAGTTCCAGCCCCGAAACTGTGGGCAGGAAAAATGGAGCCTGCTTTGGAGCCTTTGGCGGCGCCTTTGGTTTATTGCGTTGTTTGATCAGCTCCAAATCCAATAGATTCTGCCAGCGAGATGCAGCCAACCCCGATAGCGTTATTAGCTCTTCGGACAGCTGAATTGGAGTTTCATACTTGGCATCGATAAGCTCCCCGAGTTTCGTCTCGTCCTCTTCGTCAATCTCCAGCTCCTGCATGCCATCTTCCAATTCCATGGCATCGCATACATTGGTGGGTAAACCCACATAGGGAGCCGGCTCCGAGGGATTGATGGATCGCAGGGAAACCTGATTGAACAGGGTCTTGTTTGCCCATAGGTAAATACCCAAAAGTCCGACATGTGCGGTGGCCAGGAAATCACCGCTGGGCGACATGCACAACGACACGCAAGGCGTCTCCACCCGCAAGTGATCCACCATGTAGGAGGAGGGTATGTCCCACACCTTGATCGTGGAGTCCATGGCGGCAGTGATCAGCCAGCGACTATCCGGACTGAAAGTGAGGTCATTCAGCTTCGCCGTGTGACCGACGAACTTGCGGACAATCACCCGCGTGTGCATGTCCACCACAAAGACCTTAAAGGTCTCAAGGCCAATGGCCAACATGGAGCTCTCACGGTGCTGGCGCATCAGGGAAATGCCATCCGCCAGCCGAAGCACGGCCAGGGGCTTATCGACTGCAGAATGATAATAATTAAACATAAAGATACAAAGTAAAACCCTAAGAATTATGCTTACCTTTTCCTTTGAACGACCAGAACTTGAGTAGGCCCTCCGAACAGCCAGAGATGACGCTCTGATTGAGATTATCGCTAGCCAAGCCGCGAACTGCCATCTTGTGACCGGGAGAACCATAGCTAGCTCGATGCATGCCGGACTGAATATTGAAGCGTTCGATGTCGCCACTGCTGTAGCCGATGATCACGAAGTTGCCGCAGTGCGTCAGCACGATGCACGTGGTCTCGCTCTGGAAGTTGGAGCGGTTGCGGTTCTGGAACTGCATCGGCACCAGACGGTGCTCACCCATGCGGTTCTTGTCAAAAGACCAGGTGGTCGTCTGAATGACGCCCGCGTGAATGGCGGCAATGTTGTCCCACTCCTTCTCGCGGGCCGTGTCCGATGTGAACTCAAGGATGGGCGGCATTTCGAACTTGTCGTACTGGAAGCGATCTGCAAGAAATAGTTGTATATTAAGGGGAAACTCTTAAGAGGATTAATCAAATGACTTACTTTTCTTTTTTGTGGCTATGGGATTGTAGGTGGCCCTGCCCATGCTCTTGTTTAGTGACTCTGATATGGTGGAGAAGACTCTCATTGTGCTGTCCTCGCCGGAAGAAAGAATGGACACACCCGAGGTGCCGTGGTAGCGGATACAGAGAGGAGGCTTCGTGTGTCCCTCGCGGATCCTCAGCTGCCTGGCCCCACCATCCGGCATATCGAAAATGAACATCTTCATGGAGTTGTCGGGCGAGGTGGTGAAAACCACAGGCTCGCTGGCCAGACAAATGGCCGTGGTAACCGACTCCTCGTGCGCCTGCACTTGACCGGCCAACTTGCGTTCCTCTAGATTCCAGAAGGCCATGTAACCGTTGCTGCAGGCGGACACCAGAATGGGTGGGCCATCGGTGCGGAAAGAGAGACTTGTGACCTGGCCCCAGTCCTGCTGGAAGCTCATCAGCACCTCGTCGAACTTTAGGTTGAGCAGGATGATGGCTCCATCACCGTGGCCCACGGCCACGACATCCAGAGCAGGAGCCGGTTCAATGTAGGTTATCCTGCTCTCGTGATGGCTCAACGTGCACACCACACTGTTCTTCTTGATGTTCAGAATCTTCAGTTGACCCTGCTGGGAGCCCAGCACTATTTTGTTGATGTACGTTGGTGGATGGGCCACCGCTGTGATCTGGAACTCCTCGGGGCGAAAGGGCACCTCCAGATAGACATCCTCGGTGGGTATATTCCACACCTTGAGCACATTTTCCCGATCAATGGCAATCAAATTGGACCCGAAGGGCAGCAGAAGGTGGACATCCTTTTGGTGGCCACGATAAACGTGCCGGATGTGTTTGCCCGCCCGCCAGGCGAAGATGCACTTGTTGCTCGCCGAGTACGTGTGCAGGCGATCCGTAGCCAAGGCTGTAATCTCGTCCGGATGCAGACCGCTGACGTGCAGCAGGCGGAAATGATTTGCGGTGTACACCTGGAAGGATCTGCCGATGCAGGTGATCAGCAAAGTGTCCCGGCGACGCTGAATGTAACGCGTGACCGCGGGAACTTGGTTGCTCACATAGCCAAGGGCCCGATTTCGCCGGAATATGCAGCTGCTCTCCTTGAACACGGATGCCCGTTCCGCTGGCTCCTCCGACTCAGCCTTTTCCTCCGTGCGCAGGTTCGTCATTCTATTGTCTTATTTGTCCCCTTTTTTTTGCTTTTCTATGGCAAATTCACGATTCACATACCAAAGAAATGTTTACGGGAGAAACACGTGTGGAACAGTGAGACCGCAGCTCGTTCGGCTGAAAAATACCATTAAATGTTTTATTAGGGGCATTTGCCTTTTTATTGACGAAAAAACCGCGAGTATTTGAAAATCCTTTAACAATTTGTTTCTTTTTTGGACTAACAAGTGGAACATTTTTTTTTGTTTCATATTTAATTAATACTTTATTTAAGTGATCAAACTAATTTTAAAAAAGAACGTTTTAATTAATAATTTTTTAAGTTATTACCTAGATACCATGGTTTTACTTGGCATGTCCTTGAGTATGTTTTTGTTCATGTTACAATATTTATTTCCAATTTAATTTCTCGATTATATATTCCACCAAGGGATCGGTTCAGACCTTAATTATTATTTAATAAAGCAGATGAATACCCAAAAAATGCCAAATACAAACCCATATTTTCTCCAAAGACGATTGATTTAAAATTGTAAGGAAATAAGAAACATTTAAACATTTAATTGTTGTTGCTTTTATAGCACATTATCTTATTTATTTAACCAAGCATCTCTTTATAAATAAAACTGTTGTGAACAAATGGTTTGTGTTGCGCTGTCATAATTTACATATACACCTATAACGTTTAACATTCAAGTTTGCAGTTTTTCCGATGCGATATGCATAGATTTTTGAATATATTCTTGGAGCTAATATATATTTTTGATTTAAAGTATAATTACAGCTACATATAGTCTTTCGCTTTCCTCGTAAATAAACATAAATAAAATATGTATTTTGTTATAAACATTGAAACACGCTATCTTGCCGCTTTCATCAATTTATTCTTCGTCGTCAACTCCTTTTTTTTTTAAACTGAAATCCTTACCAGCCCCTAAAAATTTCAGTTGCGTTTTTTTTGATTAGATGTTTATGCAATTAGCATGAAAATTGACTGCTTGGTATGTGTAGACATTTATCAAACATTTTATACAAGTTGCAAAAGTAATTAACATTCATAAGTAATTCATATGTTGCTGTTGCTGCTGATGTTGTTGTTGCTCTCGTTTTTGAGGTCTGTTTTTGTTGTTTTCGCAGTAGGTCATGGAAATGTGAATTTTTGATATATTTCCCGGTCTTAGTTCAATGCATTCAATTCGCCGGAATTGGCCAAAGGATAATCCAGTTCACCCATACGGGCGGCCGGTCGTCGTGGCCGGTTAAACTAAAAAGCGAAGAAGGAATCATATATTAGTTTATAATATGAGTTTTAGTTTGAAAAAAAATGAAAGATATTAAAATAATTTATAGTTTTATTTTGTCTGATTACACGATTTTTAATGTTAAAAAATCGCCATTTAGCTTTTTACTTGTATCCTTACTGATATCTTAAAGCTCAAAATGAGGAACTCAAATATGTTTCGCACTTACCCATGATCTCATGATTTTGTAGAGCACCTGACGTGCTGGATAGTCATTAAAGTCGGCCTCGGGCGCCACCGCAACCTGTTCGTTCGGCGCCATCATGGGCAGCAGTCCACTTGGACGCACGTAGTCCTGCTCCTGGCCTCCGGAGGCTGTCTCGCCCATTCCCACTCCGGTTCCTGACCCGGATCCGGCACTCAGGGAGCGCTTGCCATGACCGCCGTAGCACACATGACCGTAGGCCTGGCATCCCTCTGCAAAATGATTGAAAAATGAATTAGTCAAGCAACGTTGCCTGGACTTAGAAGCTATTAAAGATGATAAGTCAAGAAAAGAATTCGATTTCATAAATAGGTACGGCTAAATATAAAAATGGTCTTATTACCTTAAGTTATAATAAATAGTTTGAAGTTTTCTTGCAATATCTTAAAATTTTGAAATACATATTGTTAAAAAAAAATAATTAAAAATAAAGTTTTCTAGAATTTCCTATTTTGGCTATAAATTTAGTATAATATAAAGTAAACATTTGATCAAAATGATATTTCTAATAGGTTTTTTGCTGTAGCTTGTGGATATCAATTAAAATGCATATCCCCAAAAAGTCTAAAATGATTGGACCTGGCACGAGGACTAATCGATATTAGAGCCCCCAACTCACTCAAAGTTCTTACTGATGCGTGTGCATTCCCCAGTACACCACCCACAATGTTTTCCCCATTACTGGGAGATAGACTGCTCCTGTGGATTTCGTTACTGCCAAAATCTTTAATCGCTCGCCAATGCTCAAGAGAGACATCCGGCGATAACAATTTGACCCCATGACGGTTCAGTTTCGTTTTGTTTGCCTTTCTGGCTGTGTGTGAACAAACTTTTGACTTTCTGCTGTTTTTGAATTTCCGCCCACACAGGCAAACATAAATTTCCCTGCTGCACACTTGGGAGTTGTCCTTGACATACGCAGGATTTAAATAATGGAAGGGGGTCGGGTGGACCTTCCTAAGCTGATGGGTTTCTGAAATCTCAAGGACTTTCGTTCTTAACGCAAACATATCGAATAAATGTGTCCCCCGGTAAATACTTTGAGTTTGTTTTTCAAAAGTCGAAACCATTTTTGAATTAGCTTTGTCCAAGTAAAATATATAAATCCAAATTTAAAGGTGTAATTACCCAAAAATAAACTTGCAAAAAAAAACAGGTCTCAATTGTATACAATTATAAACCATTTACATTTACAGAGTATCTCGGAATTTATTATTTGACTGCTTATAATATTGTCAATGCAATCGCTTGGGGAGCTCTAAATAAGTTAGCTTGGCAACATCTTAAATGCCGTTTCAAAGGCAATCAAATCAAAAACTTTTGGTAATAGAGTTGAATGGGAAAGCAGATAGGTCCTGATGGAAGCGGATGACTTGAAGTCAGCACTCCTTGCGCTACTTGACATTCACTATTAATAATTTCAAGGAAACGTTGTCGCACATGGCTCGTGTATCTGAGATAGTTGCAACTTGCAAGGGAAATGGAAATGGCTCCCCACTTTCCCCATTTGCTCACCCCCCGACCCCTTGTTGTTGCCATTTAACGTTCCCGCAGCTGGAAAAACAAAGACGCCCGTTTGTTTGCATTGCATTAAACTGCAACAATTGATGCTGCCTCGTTGGGCGAGTGTGCGAATATCGAGCATGACAACCCATTTATGGCTTTGTTTTTCGCCCTCGAATTTAATGAATATTTCATGGCAAGTTCACCTGCAGATTTGCAGTGGGAGTGCTTTAAACTTTAGGAAAAACATTTTTGCGGAAAGCCAAACAAGCGATAATAATGTAAGGCAGTATATAATGTAAAAATGTGCAACAATATATTACTAAAAGAATTGTATACAAATTAGTAAATTGTATTCATAAATTGAAAAGGCAGACTTAAGTCCTTAAACCTTATACCTAACAAAAATAAATAATTACAATATTTATGCTTTTAATCCTGTACTGTGTTGGTTTTTAATTCCACTTTATCAGACAGTTATTTTTCACACAACAAAATTAAAACCTGGTGGTATTTTTATGAAATATTTAAAGTTACTTTGACATTTTTAGCGTAAAACTTTAGTAAAATGAGTTTCAAATCTAATTAAGGAAAGGTATCAGGACTAATATCATTTGCCCCTGTTCTATCCCAAGCGTGATTTGTTATTTAAATTAAATTTTATTGCTTATCACTTACATTTGGAAAAGTATTAATAAATGATAACTTAATTTCCTGATTAGGCAATGAAGTGGGGGGAGAATATTTACAGGTTTACTTACTTTTCGCTTGGCTCTGTTGCGCGGCCAGGACCACGGTGCAGATGACGACCAGCAGCAAAGAAATTGTGGATTTCATGTTACCTGCAAGAAAGGAGTGGAGACAAAGGGATGAGCACCTGTTGAAGTCTGGCACTGACAATGTGGCTTTCCACCGCGGGGCGCCACACTAATTAGGAAATCCGAACACAGCGCTGCGAGCGAGTTGAAATCAAATCCGAAGGTCCACATGCAGTTAAGGAGCTAATCCTGGGCCGCAAAAACTTTTGAACTATGATTGATGTAACGCCCACACAAGCACACAAAGACAATTAGCCTGGGCGTGTGTGTGACCTGAGGGCAAAAGGTGGAAGTTCCACAAACATTTGTTTATTACGTGCTTGGAATTTCTTAAGTGTTGCGGACATCTTGCCCAGGAAATTCGAAGATAAAGGATAATACATTTAATTGGCCAGGCCCTGCATGAATTTTCCACTATATTTCTATGTGGGCTTAGACTCGAAATTAAACCGATTAAAATTTGGCAACAGCTGATGCATCTTCATCTCATCAATCATACGCCGTGTGTAGGCAATTAAGTGTATTTTAAGAAACCCAACATGGTCGACTGTAACATTTCGACTTTGTCCAACAAATTAGTTGATTACATTTAAACCTTAAATATTTTTAATGTCATTAAAGATAATTTAAAGTTTTCACTGTATTCGATTAAAGACAAATTTATAACAGCTGATGGTGAGAAGGCCCATCAATCATACGCCATGTTTTTCCCATTTATTTTATTATTAAGAACCGAACCTGGTCGCGTGTCATTTTCAACTGCAGTTTGAATAACTCACCTTGATTAGACTGATTAGCTGATCTGGGGTTTGTGCAATTTATACGGCAGTTTTCTTTGTTTTTTGCTTGTTACAGGGATTATCAGCACTAATTTAAAACAATTTTATTCGTTAGATGGCTACTATATAATCACAGATAGGTTGGGGCGGATGTTTTGCCAATTCCAGTTTGATATGGCAATTCCACCGGCCGAATTCCTGAGCGCGACTTCACATTTTCAAGCTCCCGCCAGCGACTGAGGCCGATCTATTAATTCGCCCGATCTATATGCCCCATCGGGAATCTGCGCCCCGTTGATAAACAGCGATCTTTTCCGTAATCTTCGCTCAATCCGTGACACGCGCTCCCACACATTTTTCATTTTTCCCTCCCCCGATCTCTGGACTATTTTCAGTCACTGGTCGGGCTAAATTTATGACCGGCCGATAAGTGAAAATTAATATGTAGAGCGCCACTGCCAGACCAGTAAAAATCAACACAACAAACGCACCCACGCAGTGCGAAAACAATAACAGCGTTCTCATTACACGAGAAAATATATAATAATTGTTTACCGAGGCGCAGGGCCGTGCCAACACTCGACCCTTGGGCTTATCAATTTTCCCAGCTATTTAGTTGTGATAATAGTGCCTTAATGAGCTTTTGCTGCCACAACTCTTGCTAACACTGTCACTAATACCCGTTCCGAGGTTCGAAAAACTTTCCGCAGGTGCTGGCATTCTCTCTAACATTTTGTACACATAAAAACAATTTTTCTATTTTAAAATAACATATATAAAATTGGGTTAAAATAAGGTATTCCTTGGAATAAATATTTTTAAGTTGTATGATTTTTATAAAATAACTAGTATTGTTTCAAAAGGTTCTTCCTTAAAAAATATTGACCATCAATTAATATCTTTTCTAGAAAGTTTCACTTATTTTTTATCATCTATCCTGGTATTTGTAGGATCATTTTTATTTATAAGATTAGAGCTATTTCAACTAAATTATAACTTTTTTGTTTAGTGGAATTCTGAATGCAAAGTTCACGAACAGCTGGCGGATCAGTTTCCGTGTGAAATTCTCTAATCACTAGCTGATAATTCACGCAAAGACAACACAAACAGCTTCGAACCAGGTCATTCAATGAAAGCGTGCCTTTGGCACAAATCATTTCAAATCAGATCAGATCTGATTGTTCTGTCCGTAATAAAAAGATTCAGAACAATCGCCAACAGATTAACTAGGCTAAGTCAAGTGGAAAGATACGCCAGGAAAATCAAATTAAAAGCGGCATCAAGTCAGGTCAAGAGTTTGTGCGGTTTTCCGCGGCTTAGAAAAGTCTGCAGCCAAGTTGAAAGTTGAAAACAGTAGTCTTGTGGAAAGTTACATTCAAGGTATGTTGACTGTACGGTTAAGTTGGTAGATGGCCACAGTTTAAAATGTAATGTACTATAGAAGTTTTCAAAAAAAATCTGTTTCAAAATCAATTCGTACATTCTATATATGATTTAAAATTGTATTCTTCGTATTTTATGTTTTTCTTTTAAAAATGATTCCGTTTCCTTTGCACATATAAATTATACAAAATCAAAATTTAAAATATTCTTCTTAAAATTCATGTAGCTTTTTAGGCTTGGGGTCTTTAATAACTCAAAGTTTTCTTAAATCTTTTGCAACAAGACAATGTAATTAATTGTGTCCCATGAGGGTCGCATAGCACCACCATCAGAGTCCTAAATGCAAAAGTTCTCCAGGGAAAGGGAAACGCTTTAATCGAGTTAAAGTCGTTGCAAACTTCTGTTTTTCAACGGCAACAAGTTGTCTGCAAATTTTCATCTGTCTTTTTCTCCCGTTTTGGATACTGCATGATTTATACAGCTGCTTATGCTTGTAGGAATGTCTTGAATTTTAATATCTTCAGCTTTGACTGAGGAAAATGTGTTTTAATACAAAGATTTGAAGTTTCAACTTTGCCAACGAAGGCGCCTAGCCGGCAGCGTTTAAGTGGGAGTTATTAAAAATAAATCAAAGCGGATAAGGAAGTACGAAAGCCCCTTCCACAATTATGGTTTCCAATCCAATTTGATTCAATTAGATTAGACAAATAAACCAAAACGGCAAAAGCCGAAACCGTCCCTAAGGGCATTTGGGAAATTAATTGATCAAGACAAGCGGCTAACAATTAAAGTAAACAAATGTGCACGAGAATGGCCGGATATCTTGGGTGTACTTAGCATAATTTCATAGAACTTTCGAAATTTCAAATTTTACGATATGATATGATATTTACATAAAATAAATATTCATGTTTTAAACTTTGTTTAAGGAATAAAGTCCTCGAATGCCAATTTTTAAATATTTTAAACTCTAAAACCGGTTTCTGGCGACGATTAACCTTTTAAACAAAGCCATTTGGGTACTCATTTTAGCAATTAAACACAAAATGATAGCACTTTTTGAGATGACACCTACTTGTAGTTGAGTAGTAGGCTGCTGTCCGAAACAAATGTCCTTGGCTTTCGTCCTGGTCCTCGTCCTCGTCCTTGCCGGATGGTTTCGCTGTGCTGCCGCTGCTGCTGTTCGACTGCAAGTCAGAGTTCTTTTGGTGCCGCCAAAGGAAAATCGGCCAGCTTTATAGCTGCAACACCAGCTCCTGGCTGCGTACGTGTGTGGGTGGTGGTGTGGGTGAGCCTGCGAGTGTGTGCGTGGGCCGCAGTCGATTCGGCCAATCAGAAGCGAGCGAAATGCCGAGCGTTTCACGAAGCGTTTTGCCTAGAAGTATGCAGCGATATTTTTGGTCGCTCGAAAATTCATTTTATGCGTGGGTGCAAAAGGCTAGCAATAAAATTGGGCAAATGGGCTGGTAAGGTCGCTTCAGGGAACGTCAAATTAGCAGCGCGCTCAGATTTATTTACTCGACATCGCCGGGGCCAGCGGATATGAATGAATGGCCATCATTGGCAGTCACAAGTGGCTGCTGACGTAGTTGCCAAAGTCCCCTGCTTTGACCCGGTGCATTCCCCCCCTCAACCTCTTTTCACCTTTCATGCCGCCCAAAATCCGTTTGGAACTTAATTAGGCCTAAATCCAATTGACTGAATCCCCACGCTCAGAACTTACAGATTCTCTTTGAGCAGTCCATGCATTTTAATTTTATTTATATTTGTTAGCCCTAACCCAAGGAACAAAATATTGATATATAAATATGTTTACATACTCCACGAAGCACTTTTATTTTCATCGAAATGATTGAAAACAGTTTTAAATTTATTTTTGACCACTTGCTCATAACTAAAAAGTTAGTCGCCTTTATATTTAACTACTTTTTCAACTGGTTTTGCTTTGGTAATTGAATTGTATTCAGTATTTTTAAAAGCTATTTATATTGTTCCCTTTTAGCAATTGTTAATAATTATTATTTTATTAAAGCGATTAAAATTATCACGATTTTCCTTGTTCAGCATTTGATGAATATAATTTTATTTTAAGTATCAGCAAATCTATATTGCAGATGTGTTTAGAAATTTAGAGTTTTTCCCTGGGTAATCAAATCTCGCTTGCATATCAACAGGGCGAGCAAATTGATTGGCTAATGACTTGTTTACAACTATTTCCACCTCCACCTCCGATTCCATGTCCATCTGGTGTAATCTATCCGGTTGAATGCGATTTAGCTTCTGTTTAGCCTGTTGCTACATTGAATATACCTATCCCCCGCAGCTTATCACTTTGCACCAAAAACAAATTAGCCGATAAGCAGCTGACGGTGCCCAACACTCGGCCATCAAAATATTTGACAACAAATACAGGAGCAGAGGTCCCTCAATTGATAAGTTTGCCCATAGATGATCATCTGGAAAATGCAAATCCCTTATCAGGAAACTGCATCATCTGTCCGACTTTTGACTTTTGCGAATATATGTCATAAAAACCAGGTCTCTGAACGTGTTGGGAACCCCCTAAACTTGAAAGCGGTTTTTCTATTTAAGTACAAATTATTACTGCATTTATTAAGTTAAGAAAATAAATTAGATCATTGTTAATCTCAGAAATATATGGAAAAACAAATGTATTGAAATAAAACTGATGATGGGATGGATATGTAATCTTATTATTCATCCTTGGCTTTTTGGTAATAAGCCGTTAACTTACAGTTAAGAAAATGGTTTAATAGATATTAAAAAGCCAATAATGAATAATTAATTTATAAACGTTTGTTTAATAAACGTTATGATTTCTTAAATATAAGTTAATTCATTTAAGGAGGTTCCCTATCTGCTCAGAGAAAATGGTTTATTGGATACCAAAAAGCCAAAGGAGATTCAAATTTACAAAAAACTACTTAAGTACTATCAATTTTGTATAAATAGGATAATAATACTGAGTGACCAAAAAGTAATCCATTTAACACGCCGCTGTCTAACCTTCAGTAAACGTTACTCAGCAGAAATGTAATTGTGTTCTAATTTGGTATTTGGAAACTCGTTTATAGGCAATGCCTATAAAATGGTCAAATAATTTGACAACAGCATCAGTTACTGACAAACCAACAAACCCAAACAACCAAATCAACATGAAGTTCCTCATTTGCTTGGCTCTCTGCATTGCCGCCGCCCAGGCTGGTTACCTCGCCTCTCCAGTGGCCACCTATGCCGCTGCTCCAGCCTATGCCGCCACCTACTCCGCCGCTGCTCCTTTGGCCTACTCCGCTCCAGTGGCCACCTATGCCGCTCCCGCCTACTCCACCTACTCTTCCTCGGTGTACAGATCCCCGGTTTACACCGCTCCGGTGACCACCTATGCCGCAGGACCCGCGTTCGCCGCCCCCATCACCACCTACGCTGCTCCATCTGTGGTCAGCTCTTTCCTGAAGAGGAAGTGAGCCGGACTTGACACCTTTAATTGATCCGACCAAACGATTTGATAATTCTTTTGAATAAAATATAATAACGAAAAAAAGTATTCGTAACATTTCGAGGCGGATTTGGATGCACTACCCCCACCAGTTAATTAATAATAATTATTGCTCGTCGCTACATTTCTTAATTATGGTCATCTACAAAAAAGATTAGTTTATCAAGTTGGCTGCAGAATTTTATTTACATGTGTATCGAAAGGTTGGAAAGGGGTTACCTCATAAAAATGACTAAAAATCGACCCAAAAATAAAAAAAAAAGTAAAAAAGGGTTTTTCAGAGAATTGAGCAACAATAATTTAGAAGTAGGCCGCTTTAAAATCGGATGTCTGTAAGAAAAGTTATGGGCTTAGAAGTGCAGTTTTTGGACCATTTTCTGCAAAGCCATTTTTCGAAAATTTGGAAAGGGGTTATAAAAATGAAAAATTAAGTAAAAACACAAATTTTTAGGGAATTAAACCACAATCATTTAGAAGTAAGCCGCTTTGAAATCGGATTTCTGTAAGAAAAGTTATGGGCCTAGAAGTGCAATTTTTTGACCATTTTCTGCAAAGCCATTTTTCGAAAATTTGGAAAGGGGTTATCTCATAAAAATGACGAAAAATCGACCCAAAAATACAAACCAAAATTTGAACACAGATTTTTCGAGAATTAAGTCACAATCATTTAGAAGTAAGCCGCTCTTAAATCGGATGTCTGTAAGAAAAGTTATGGGATTAGACTGCATGCTTTTTGGACCTTTTTCTGCAAAGCCATTATTCCAAAATTAGGAAAGGGGTCATCATCATAGAAAATGACGAAAAATCGACCCAAAAACTAGAAACTTTGATCACATAACTTTTTAACGAATGTCCGATTTGAAAAATTTATTCTACATTCGATAGGTATTAAAACCATTTACTTTTCCGAAATATTTAAATTTTAAAATCGTAGATTGGGATTTTGAAACAAACTTTAGAACAGAATCTGCGCAAATGCCAATCTTCAGCTTTTATATTTCCGAGATCTCAGCGTTCATGGACAAAGGACAGACAGACGGACAGACGGACAGACGGACACGGACAGACAGACGGACAGAGGACAGCTAGATGACTGCTAGTGATGAACAAGAATATACTTTAGGGTCGGAAACGTTCCTCTTTACATACTTTTGCACGAATACAATATACCCTTTTACTCTACGAGTAACGGGTATAAAAACTAAAGTAAAAACGCAGATTTTTAGAGAATTAAACCACAATCATTTAGAAGTAAGCCACTTTGAAATCGAATTTCTGTGTGAAAAGTTATGGACTTAAAAGTGCAGTTTTTGGAAACTAGTGTAGTTCTAAAAAAAATTTGATACATGACATTTTCCGATAAATTTTTCGATCTTTTCTATGCCACCTACTTTATCACATATGAAATCGCTAAAAATGACTATAGAAACAACAAAGTTATAAATTTATTTTCAATAAAAGTTGTTCAATAGCAATTTTTAAAAAACAAAAGCAGCGATATTTTTTTTGCCTTTTTTCCAAACAATTTTGATATATTTAAATAGTTAGGACAATACCAAATAGTGACCAAAGATAACAAGATCAGTGTTCGCCATCTGCTCAAGCGCAAACTGAAAAAGAGTAATCCATTAGATACGCCGCTGGTTGGTAAAATCCGAGGCGCAGCTTCCGCGTTCAACGAATATTACCGAGAAATAACGAGAAAGCTCAATGCGGACACAATTGTGTTCTAATTATGATTTTTATATTCGGAAACGAAACCCGTTTGACAAAGTGCTGGTGACAATAGTCCTATAAAATGGCTGAGAAATATTGGTAATAGCATCAGTTACTGACAAACCAACAAACCCAAACAACCAAATCAACATGAAGTTCCTCATTTGCTTGGCTCTCTGCATTGCCGCCGCCCAGGCTGGTTACCTCGCCTCTCCAGTGGCCACCTATGCCGCTGCTCCAGCCTATGCCGCCACCTACTCCGCCGCTGCTCCTTTGGCCTACTCCGCTCCAGTGGCCACCTATGCCGCTCCCGCCTACTCCACATACGCTGCCGCTGCTCCCGCTTACACCGCCTACAGTGCTCCAGCTTATACCGCTCCGGTGACCAGCTATGCCGCAGGACCCGCCTTCGCCGCCCCCATCACCACCTACGCTGCTCCGGCTGTGGTCAGCTCCTTCCTCAAGAAGAAGTAAACAGGACTTGACTGCTGTACCTGTTGACCCATTCAATCGATTTAATAGACAAAATTAAATAAATCAAATTTCAAGTAATTGAATATATTCTTGCTGATTTTACTCTACCAATGGGTGGTGCAATCCCCGATCAAACTGATTTTCCATCGGTTTTTACCAGTTAGTATTGGCAACTTAGATGTAAATGCAATCTGAAAGCTATTAAACAAATAAAAGAACAAACACACTAAGTTTTTTATTTTTAACTTTATTAAAATGTTACATTTGAATCAGCTCTGGAAAAACTAATTTGATCTCTGATACACATATTCTAGCTGCGGACGGCTTGAGTTTCAATTGGCCTAAAAGCATACCAATAAAAAGTTAAGGAATAAAACAATGCACAAGATCTTGAGATTCGCGATTGCCAGAGTTGTGAGAATAGTTGGAAGAGTTTTGTGGGAAAATCAGAGACAGCTTAGTAGAAGGCGCGGATAAACCAAAGACCCAGCAGGGAGCCAAGGACGGCGCTTACGCTGGCCAAGGATGAAGTGGCTCCATTGTGCTGGTTGCAGATGCGGGGCTGCGGGGCGGATACGTATTTGCAGATGGTGCCAATAAAGTTCACCTGGGCGCGTTCATTAACATTCTTGTCGAATTGCTGCAATCAGAAAACAAATTTATATTTTAGTAATTGCAAAAATATTTTAGAGAAATTTGGGTACACTAGTTTACCCCATTACTATTTTATAGGTAGAGAAATGTGCGTTTAAAAATTCTCTTTGTGAAAAATATCATAATTTCTAAAAAATATGTAATAAATTTAAGTGTCTTCTTTGACCAAACAGCGGGGTAATCAGTATTTTCTTACTCGAAATATCACAAGAGGTCAACATTTCCATTAATTTATTTCTTAATCTACTGCAAATTACTAACCTCGTTGAATAGAATGGTGGGCACGCTGGTCAGCGGCTCCTTGAGTCGCTTGGTGGTTTCACCGGCCTTACGGAGGAGGTTGCTGCCCTCGGTGGAGTTGGCGCAGGTCTTGATGTTCTCCCAGCTGTTGATGTGGTTCTCCGAGGCACACCGCTGGCCGGGATAGACGTTGTCCGGGAAGTTCTTGCCCGCCTTCATCAGGCAGTTAATGAAGTCTAACGTGAGGGACTCGCGGGTGAATTCCACCTCGTAGGAGTTGGCCTGTATGTGTTCGATGGCGCAGGCATGCACCTTGTTGCCATAGCACTCGTTCGGACCGTGGTGGCATGTGAACGTCACCTCGGAGCCCTGGGTGAAGAACTGGGGAAGGAGCAGGGAAACGAGCCATGCAAATGAGCCATTGTCCTACCGATATTTGGGGCCGGAGGCCACTCACCTGAGACTTTCCGAACGGCACGAAGGTGAGTTCCACCATATCGCGCAGCTCTCCCTTCGCCGCCGGGTACAACTGCTCCGTAATGAACTTGGCGCTGTCCGGACACAAGGACTCGTAGTAGATGGAGATGGGTACCTGCAAAATGGAACAAACATGTGGTAAAATATGTAATTTAATTTTTTAGAAGATTTCAAAATCTATTTTGATTATTTCGATTATACTAATATATAGGTATAATGGGAAAGTTTATAGTAAAATGTTTCTATTTTTGAATAATATAATTTACTTTATTTAAATTTATAGAAATAACATACAAATCATAAACTGTAATATATTTCAACTGCTAACTCATTTTTTCTGATGAGGAAATGGGTGCACTCGTTTAAATTTTGATTGAGGGTGCATTTTCTAATTTGCATTTTTCGAGTGTGCAGCCAAGCTGAGCCATGCAAATCACATGCGGCTGAATGGACAGGGTCCAAATATTGTTACTCTTTGTTTATCAATTGGGGACAACAGCCACATGCTCCAATCAACAAGCCAAAATATTGTTGAGCTTGAACCGGTATGCATACGATAGTAATAGATAAAGAAAATAAATGTATAAGGTATCTAATAAATCTGGAGGTAATTCAAAATGTAGATTTAATAGCTTATCATAAAAAAACAATAAATTGTATTTTATAATTTAAATACAAATAATTGCCCAAATGTTTTATATTTTCGTTTCCATATTTGTGTTCTTTTAGTAATTAACTGGTGCCTACAGCACATTGCTATATGAATAGGGGTTTAAACACGTGTTTTGATATCTCTTGTTTACTCCCCCAATTTAATTGAATTTCAAAATGTCGCAATTTTTATTCAACAAAATTTATAAAAGAAGGCGAAAAGGTCGATTTCAGCGTTATTTCTGTTATTCATGAATGAATACGGGTTTAAACATGTACTTTGATATCTCTTGTTTACTCTCCCAATTTAATTGAATTTCAAAATGACACAAAATTTATTAAACAAAATTTCTAAGACAAGGCGTTATGTCTGTTATTCATCAAACTTTGTCAGTTGGTCTCACAATCTTCTTAGGGGATTACTTTTAAAACTAGTATTTTCCAGTAAACAAGCTACGATTAAGTTTTAATAAAGTATTCTATGTTTTAGGGTCTTCAAAAGTTTTTAATTCCAACGTTCGTGCTTGTGACAAAACTGTTTATTTATGGGTCAGCACCTGATCTACGTTAGCTTGGTGGTTAAACAAACAAATTATACTAGTTTATTGTAATTTTAGTTGATTATTTTAGTTCAAATTACAACTGAGTATAGATAAATCTGAACAAATTGATGCAACCCCGATCCCAGCAGAAAAAAAATACATTTTATTCTAATCGTTGTATACAGCTCGTGACTAATGCGCAAACGACTAAACAATTGAAAATGCTTGGGCAAAATAAATAAAATCATCACAAATGTGTACGGGCGTTTATATACACGAATGCAAATTGTTTGTGCTGGAGTTGAAGTTATATAAAAGCTGCTGACACATCGATGGAAGTAGCTGCCATTCTTCTCGATCTAAACAACAACAGAAGCGGCCACCACTCAGTAAATATGTATGTATGTATCATATCAAGGTGCACAGAAAAAAATTTATTAAGATCTTGGAAGAGATATAAAATATATTTAAATATATAAGCAGTGATGTGAGTAATTCTGTGCAAGGTAAATGGAATCAATGTATCAAATAACCTATTGAACGAACAATTTAAAGACATTATCTTTAATTTCGTGTTTCTAGAAAATAAAATATTTAGTCCAGAGTTTTAAAGTAAAGTAATTATTACCTATTCAATGCGAATAATTTTATGGTATTTTTTGTTTGAAATTAGATTACTAAGTCTATATGTAGCTATATAAGTTATGCTAGTAATTTTAGTGTATTGATAATATATTTTTTTTTTTACTTGTTTGGGTAAGGTCTGTAATAATATCGTCTTGTAATTGCAAACATTGTTTTAGTTTATCATATTCTTGATTTTTTTTTTTTTAAGTCATTAGGTTTATTTAAAAGACTTTATTCGAGTCTATGTGTGTATCTCTATAATTTGTTCTTTGTGCAGAATGAAGTTGCAGTTGGGTTCCCGCTATGAGAAACCGAAACTGGTCTCAGAACCGGTTCTTGTACCCAAATGAAAATAACAACAGAGCAACAGGGCGCTCTTTGGCTTATTTATAATGTCAACTATGCTCTATGCTTTTCCAGTGCGGCATTTTCCGACTTGGCAGCAGTTCGTTAAACTCTCGAAATGCCACTTGTTGCTGCTACAAAAAGGGTGCAGCTCTTCAGTGGATCGGTTTTTTCATATGCTATTTAGTTTTTCAATTTAATCACGTATTTACGTCTAGATGGTAAATGCTATTTTTTCGGCGCCCCTGACACACTTTGCTGTTGTGTAATGATTTAAGCAATGATTTCTGTGTATGTCATTTTGTAGGTTTTTTCCTAAGCCGGTAACTCACCTTAGCCGCACTATAAGCCGAGGCAATGAAACAGCTCATCAGGAGGCACACCACAGCGATTTTGTGACTCATATTCTGGCTTCTTGTTGTTCTGAGACTTTTGAAATTATTTCCTTTTGTTATATATGTATATATGTGGTTATATATATATATATATATGTCTGAACACCTTAAGAGCGGCAGTCGTGATGCGAGCGGTTTGGCGGATAAACGCGAACTGTTGTTTGTTAGAGAGAGCTTGGCGTGGAAGACCCCCAGTCCCCCAGCGGATTTCCAGACTGGAACGGCAGCGGCAGAGAAAGAGACCTGCCTGCACATTTTGGGCTGGGCTTGATAGGTCGTACGTGTGCACATCAATATTCCAGACTCTCGATCGAGTTTTATTCCAGTCAGAGATGGAGTTCACAATTTAAGCTAAGTATATCAGGAGATATTTTTAACATCTTTGAATCCGATCTTATTTCTGGCTTATGTATATAGTTGTATCTTATTTGTGATGTAGTAAACCGATTATATTTAATCTAAAAAAAACTTTCTAAGGTCGGCTGTATTACGCTTTATAAGCAATAAGGTTATGAAGATATACGAAAAATTATAAGATTTTCAAATAAATTCAAAATTCTATAATGAAATAACTTAAAGACTGTATTAAATTTAGTTGATTGTTATAAATCAAAAATATTTTTTGCGCCCCCTTTATTCGTTTCAAGAAGATAGGTTTTTCAAATCGGAAATAATTTTGTCTAAAATTTTTGAAATTAAAAATTCTGCTCAATGTTTAAGAGGAAAAAAAAGAAAAGAAATTTTACTGTTCATCTTTAATTTAATTATTTGATTTTTTTTGATTCCATAAGAATGTTCTTAGCTATTCCTTACAAAACCTCCGAATATTTTTGTTTCAAACTTTCGGCACCTGGGGAAATCAACCCTTACAGGCCGTCCGCCCACATAAAAAGTGGTCTAGAGTACAGTTGCGTGATTTTTTATAAATAATGGAATTACAGATTAACATGCACATGTCCTGGGACGTTGAAATCCCTGTTCTTTAGTCGCGAAACCGAAATCCCTTGGCTATGAAATCCTTGCGTGCCTCCAGAATCTCATCCTGAAGTTCCTTGGCGGCCTCGACACAGTCGTTAAAAGTGAGAGTTCTATATAGAACTGTCCAAACGGAATAGATCTGAGGGTACAATCATAATAATTAGTAACAGGTGTTATCAGCGGCTTTGTTATCAAGAACTTACGCCGAAAATCACGAAA